ACAGACCCGAAAGTGAATACTGCTCTATTGCCAATTACTTTTGTGCACTCAGGCAATTCACAACCTCTCTAAGTCTCCAGAACTTCATAAGAGTAATGACAATAGTTCCTTCTGTACGAACTCGTTTTAAGGACTAAGATATAATAAATACGGAGCATTTAGTGCAGCACCTGGTATTTAATAACTGATCAATAAATATCAGCTATTATTCATTCCAAGTTGTTCCTCAACCATCTTGTGACTCAAATATTAAGTGAGAGTCCATAAACCTCAGGGATATAGAAACCAATAAGGTTTCTGTTTTTATGGAGCTTACAGAATACGTGTAGAAAATGTAAAAAGAAAATCATTTCAGATGGCAAACTGCTGTAAATAAGAAAAAACTAAGTAACACGAGCATCTGTGAAGGGGCCAGCATGAGAGCCAAAAACAGTGTTTCCTAAACTTCCCTTATTAGAAGTACCTGAGGCATTTGCTAAAAATAATTCCTGGCCACATTCCAGACCCACTGAATCAAAATCTCCAGGGGGAAGGGCCTAGGAGCTGTAAATTTCACAAGCGCCTTAGGTGATTTTATTAGAGATGTTAGAAGCACAAGTTAGAAACTTGGGCCGAAGAGTCAGAAATGGACTTGAATCCCAGCTCAGCCACTGACTAGCTCTGACTTCGGGTCTCATTTTCCCCACCTGAATAACAGGCACATTACTACTTACTTGGGAGGACTGTTGTGAGCACTGAGAACGCTGATGCAAGGAAAGAGGCCAGCGCGGTGCCTAGCACAGCGTCAACACTAGGTAGGTGAAGTGGGAAAGGCTGTCAGAGCCACGGGGATTACCTGTAATCGAGTGAATCTTCTGTTTTAGCTCGGAGCCTGTGCTATCCAGGGGAAACTTCACGTCGTGCTTAGTCTTGTTCCAGATGATCTTCAGGTCCACCAACTCCCTGCCCGCGCCGCCGCCCGCGTCCTCGCCGTTGCTGACCGAGGCCTGGGCCGCGAGGTCCCCAGGGGGCTGGGCCGGGGCAGGCTGCAGACTGCCTCGCGCGGCGCAGGAGTCCTCGGCCGCCGCCCCCGCCGCGGCTTCGGCCTCCAAGCAGCTGAGGGGCCGCGCGGGCCCCTCGGTCGCCACGGTCTCGGCCTCCGTGTCCATGCCCGGTTCCTCCATGCCTGCAAGGGGGTTAGGGGGTGGGCGCTCGCCGCGGGCTGGGCCTGGGACCGGATTCTGCCCGGGCGCCCGCCGGACCGCCGCTCCCGAGCCAGACTGCTCCCCCCGCCGCGCCAGGCCGCATCCCCCAGGGGCTCCCGCTTCACCTCGGCCCGACCCGGGCGCCCGCCACCCCCTCCACACTCACCATCCGGGGCTCCGGCCGCCGCCATGATGATTGTGTACAACACCCACCGCTCCCGCAGAGGCCGCCGGGAAAAGGCGAGCTGGCTGAGATTGGCCCCGGTAACAGCCCCTAATCGCGCACAGCCTGGCCGGAAACAGGTGGAGGTTTCTATGGAGACCCGCCTCCTCCGCTTCCCCGGCCCGGCCCCTGCCACGCTTTAGCTTTCAAGAACCCGGGGGGCGGGCCCGGGAAATCGCCCGCTCGCTGGACTCTGCCCCCTAGAGGCCGAGTGGGACCGCAGTCGTGCAAGGGGGCGTGGACTTGTAGGCCAGGGGGCCTGCGCCTTTAAGGGGCGGGGTTGCGCCTGCTGTGGCGGAAGCGGATTTGCTGGGAGGAGTCCCCGGAAGTGATGCACGGAGAAGCCCACGTGTGCGGTTCCACTCCACATGGCTGTGCTCCTGAAGAGGTTGTTGCATCCCCGGAGGCCCCCAGAGGCCTTGGGCCGCCCCCTGGGACGGCGCGAGGCCAGCCTGGGCACTCATGCCGGGCCTGCGGTGCGAGTGCGGTTCGCCCCCAGCCCCACAGGTAACCTTGGCGGACGTGACGCTGCAGGCCTAGGCCCACCGTCTCTTGCCCGCCCCCCGAACGTTCCGAGCGAATCCCTTCCGGTGGAGTCAGACTGGGCGGGTAGTGCGGCCTCATTATACAGAGGCAGAAATAGGTTTACGAGAGGAAATTTTTCACGTTGCCAGGAATTTCGTGTTTATTGTACTGTACCATTTCTTTGGGCCCCTTTTTTCTTTCGTGTATATAGTAAATGTGTATTGAGTACAAAATGTTTTAGGCGCTGGGGTACAGTGGACATGGAGAAAGTAGGGCCCCCGCTCCCGAGAAGCCTACACTGTAGTGGCTGCAACAAACACGTATAAAAATAACTAGTTTTAAACAGTCACGTGTGTCATGCGGAAGATGAAGCAGGGTAGGGGACTGGGGGTTGGGTAGGATGCTCAGGGATGCCTTGCTGAGGAGGTGTCATAAGGGCTGAGAACCAGATAACAAGAAGGAGCTAGGTATGTGAAACCTATAGAAGGAACCTTCTGGGCAGAGGAAATTGGAGGTACAAAGGCCTGTGATTAGTATTGGAGCCTAGCAAACCAGAGAGTCAGGCAGGGCCCCACTGTACACCCTAGCGGCGATCTTGTCAGGGCCTCCGCACCAGTTCCCCAAATTCTTTTCTCACCAAGGCAACCTGCTTGCCCTCTTCACACCAAGCGTGCCTCTCATTCTGAACTCCAGGGTCACAGAGCTACCTTTGTGACAAGGTCTCAGCTACAAAGAGTGACAGGGGTCTTTCTCGGCAGGCAGTATCGTGTAGAGCATGCTTCTCAAACCACCCCTGGTGAAAGGACTCGTTTCTGATTTACAGTCAATTATGGACTAATATTTTTATAAAATCAATATAAAGAAATTAGTAGAAAAAGGAAACTCGTAAAAGCATACAAAATATGAGACTATTGAATTCAACAGATATAAAGTTATTCTGTCAAATTGCTGTCAACTTGGTTGGGAACTGCCAACAGTTTGCAGACAAGCTCTGGTTTGGGAGCCAAGGCTTGGAATTGTCTGGGCCCAAGTTTCTGGCTTTGCCACTTCCTATTTGTGTGGCTTGAGAAAATTATTTAACCTCTCTGAACCTCTTGAGTTTTATCATCTGTCAAACAGGGCTGGTAATAGTACCTGCCTCATGGTTTGAGCTAATGCAGCTGAGGCATGGGGTAAGGACTGGTACTCATGGAAAGCACTTAATAAGCAGAAGGTTCCATTGTGATGATTTTAATTCTCCTTTCCTTGCTGATCTGTGGGAAGAGCCCATGTTGGAAAGGCTGTTGACTACAGATAGAAGAATGTAGATCATTATACTAACTAAAATTAATAGGGTACTCTGGTCAACATTTATGCCTCACAGCAACCTTGCAAGGAAGATTTCTATTTTTTGTTGTTAATCTCTCTAACAAATTAAGAAATCGATGCACACAGAAGTCAAGTAGAGTGTCCAAGGGGTAGCAGAATTTGAATCAAGGTCTATTTGATCTAAAAGGTCTTGCTTTCAACTACTGGACCCCTGTCCTCTATCTTGGGGACCTCTGGTTTTGGTGGTGGCCTTGTAACTAGCTGAAGGTCACATACATAATCAGTGTTGAGCTGGAGTCTACCTGACCCTAGAGAAGCATTTCCTATCCCGTGCTGCCTCCTGTACTTGGAGATGCAGACAAGCTCATTGTGGAGACAGGGCCGTAGCCTGGCTGTCGTAGTTTATCTTATGACAGGGCCGAAAGCAAGCTCATCACACGAGATGAATTGTGCCGAAGCACAGCAGTAGAGGGCTGCCGTTCGCTCAGGCAAAGCAGCGCCGTCTGTCCTGCTGTGGTAGCTTTTATTAAAGCATTATCTATGTTTACATTTTAAGACTTGTTTTCTTAACATTTCAGAAATGCCAAAGCAGCAACATATGTTTCTATTGATTATACAGGCAATAATGGGCTTTCTTGAAAACATGCCGTGCTTCGTCCTTGAGCGCAAAAGCAGCACAAGTTTCCCACCATTATTTTGATTATACTGAAGTAGCACAAGGACATTTCCTTGCGTTCCCACCAGTCTGATTATACTGAAGTAGCACAAGGACATTTCCTCGCGTTCCCACCATTCTGATTATACTGAAGTAGCACAAGTACATTTCCTTGTGTTCCCACCATTCTGATTATACTGAGGACATCTCATGGATCAGTGCCCAAAGCACTCAATGCTTCTTCGCAGGCCCCCGGTTTGCCGGGGGGGGCTCAAAGCAATCAGGACTGTTTACAGTTCTGGCTTATTCGCCAGCCCCCAGTTTGCTGGGGCGGGGGGGCATGGGTCACGTCTCCTTTCCATGTCCTCAGTTATTCCACTACACCTGGCCCAAAGAAGGAAGGGTAAGGGGGGAAATGACAGCCCTGGGAAAACTGTTCACTTTAACTTTTCAGTCAGGAATGATGAAAAAGTAAAATATTAAGTGTTTAAACTTGGGTGAAGAGAAATACAGTGGCATCGAATATTACTTTCGGTTAGTATCTAAAGCCAGCACTTAGAGTGTCAAGTAGACAAAATTTAAAATGTATGATGTGGATAGTCACGTACAGTGCATAGAGGGTATGGGCAAAATGTAATCTTACAGTACTTTTAATTAGTAATTAAATTTTTTTTTTGTCCAAGGACTTCATTGAATTTGCATAAGTTAGATGCATGTGTGATGTGGCTTCACTGAATAACTGTCTGCTTCTCCTTTGGGTGAAACTTGGCCTTAAGGCAAATGTCAAAGTAGAATGATGGGTGCAGTTGGGGAGATTTGGAGCCATTTTACCCAATGACATGCTCCAAAACTGCAGTGTTCTTCCACTTCCAGGATGAGGGTAAATGAGTCAACCAGCCCAGTCCTCTTCTGTGGCAACCTGCCTGCCTGGGTGCCTGACGGGGAGATGGGACAGGGTAGTGCCATTTCTTAGACTTTGATGTTCCCTGAGACCTTGTGTCACAAGCAGAACTTACTTGCCCCTTGTCTTCCCCATCTTGTCTGAGCTGTTCTCTTCTTCCGCCAGGCTTCTTGCACCTGGGCGGCCTCCGCACTGCCTTGTACAACTACGTCTTTGCCAAGAAGCACGGAGGGAGCTTCATCCTGAGGCTGGAGGACACGGATCAGACCCGCCTTGTGCCTGGGGCAGCGGAGAATATAGAGGACATGCTGGAGTGGGCAGGTGAGGCTGGCCGGGAGAGGCCCCTTCTTCAAGGAAGGCGCAGGGAGCAGGAAAAGGAGCCTGAAGGTTTTCTCACGTGGCCCAGGGTGGAGAATACGGAGTCCCTGGAGGAATGAGTACATTTGTGCTGCCTGGGGTGGCAGGTTCCACCTGGAAAGATGCTGAAGTTCCTGGGGCAGGGCAGAATAAAAAGCTCCAAGGCTGTTTGGAGATTCTTGTTTTTATCTCAGAATCTCACTTCCTCCTGGGAGCGGGCAGGAAACACAGGCCAAGTGGAAGATGGACCGGGAGTCTCCAGGGGTGTGGTAAGCCCGAGAAAGCGCCAGCCCAGTTGATGTGGGACTCCTGGCCCAGCTTGTCAAATCTTCTGATTTCTGGGAGGAGCCGGAACTCTGGGGTTTTTTTGTTTTTTGATGACTACTTCCCATTGTTAAATCTGAGCTCAGATTTTTTTTTTTTTAAACCACATTGTACGAGCCAAACAAAATACGTGCAGCTTCTTAAGTCAGTCTCTTTAAGGGAAGTTTAGCCCTGAGGCCAGCTCAGCTCAGGGAGGACGAGGAGGAGTGTATTTGTGTTCCCCAGGTCAGTAGCTGCCTTCCTGTCGGAACAGGTATGACTATTTAAGCTCGCCAAGGAAAAATGCCAAAAACACCAGTCTGTCTTGACATGTATATTCTAGTCTCAGGTAAATCATTAACTAAATTTTGGGTTCCTGAAGGGCAAAAACTGATTTCATTTCTGTCCTCTACTGTAGAAGGTTGTAGCAGAAACTCAGTTGAGATTAGTTGAATAAAAGAATTCATGCACCGAAGTCATGATAGTAGTGATAGTGTTCAAGCATGGAACCAAGACCCTGCACTCAGTAAGTAGGGGAAGACAGATAAATAACAGGTGAATTCATTCTTACTACAGTATTAAGTGATGATAAGTGATGTGGAGGGAAAGGTAGCAGGCGAGGAAACCAGCAGGGAGCAGGTCTTGGAGATGGGGGGGGGACTTCCCCGGGGAGGGGACGGTAGAGCAGAGAGTTGCACAAAGTGAGGGGCCAGCCCTCTGGTTACCTAGGGGGAGAATGCTCAAAGCAGTGGGAATAGCAGATGCAAAGGCCCTGTGGAAGCTTAGTGCTGGATGTATTTGAGGAGCAGCAAGGAAGCCAGTGTGGCCCAAGCACGGTGAGGTAAGCAGAGGACCTGGAGACGTGAGGACAGGGAGGTTGGCAGGAGCCCGTGATTGGCCATGTGGCGTGGAGCACCTGCTACACTGTGCTAGGCACGAGGGCACCGTGATGAGCAAGACTGCCTGATGTGTCCTGCCCCGAGGAGCCCCCAGCTCGGCACAACGGTGTGAGCCTTCTGGTGAGGCAGAGGGCAGGGATCCACACCCCAGGTGGCTCAGTTCTGGAGCTTCTTGCTTTGGGCATCGGTATGTAATTTACATAGGATGAAATTCACCATCTCAAAGTGGTCTTTAGTCTATTCACTGAGTTGTATATCCACCACCACTCTCTAATTCCAGAACATTTCCATCACCCCAAAACGAAACCCTGCACCAGGCACTCCCTATTCCTCCTTCCCTCCTGCCCCTGGCAATCACTAACCTACTTTCTGTCTCTGTGGTTTGCCTATTTGGGACGTTTCATTTTATGTCTGGCTTACACTTAGCATAAGGTTCGTGTATGTTGTAGCATGAATTGGTTCTTCTTTCCCGTTTATGCCAAACAATATTCATTGTATGGAAATAACACTTTTTACTTATCCATTCGTCAGTGATTGGGCATTTGGATTGTTTCTGCTTTTTGGTTATGATGAGTAAAACTGCCGTGAACATTTACATACTATTTTTTATGTGACTCTGTTTTCAGTTTTCCTGGTGGAGTCTTTCTTAAACCCTGGAGCGTTCCAAATGCTGGACACGTTAAGGGTAGATCAGGAAGGAGCCCCAGATGCACCTAACCCACCCCCTCACCCTTCTCTGACAAATGAAGAAATACCAATACCAACAGTACCAACGATGGTCACAGCCAGGACCTGCTGAGCACCGAGATGTGCCAGGCAAAGCGCCAAACCCTTCCCGTAGGCCGTCCCATTCCAGCCTCGTGATGACCCTCAGCAGAAAGTAAATGTTTGTTTCCTTCTTTTGTAAAGGAGGAAATGGAGGCTCTGGTAGGTGTCTTGCCTGGCCTCAGAGCTGGCCAGTGCACTTGAACCCAGGCCCCTCAGCCTCCAGAGTCTGTGTGACGTCGGGTGTGCAGGGTTAGCCCTGTCCTCTTCCTAATTTGTTTGAAAGCCATTTCAGGGCAGAAACACCGTCATCCAGCTCTTCTGTGTCCACCCTACCTCTCCCGGAAGCGTTTATAAGTTAAATCTATCCTTTGTGACCTGAGGAAACCAGACCTGGGGTTGGCGGTTCGCTTATAATAGGTCACATTTAATCTAACAGCGTATGTTGCAGCTGTTCTACATGAAGCCATTGCACTAAGCACTGTGTAAGCACTGGTGCGTTTACGTCTCGGTCACTCTGCACAGTAGACTCTCAGCTCCACTTTTCAGAGAAGGAAACCGAGGCTTAGAAAGGCTAAGGAATGCAAGAGGCAGTCCACCAAGTGGTTAAGAGTGCGGACTTGGGGCCAGCTAGCCTGGCTTTGGTCCTTGGCCAGGTGACATAACACAGCCCCTCTACGCCCCCATGTCCTCCTTACTGAATGGGGGTAATAACGGCCCCTACTGGGTGGGGTGGTTTTGAGCTTTAACAGCGATCACAAAACATAAAAGCAGCCTGGAAGGTGCAAGGCACTATCCCTCGTGACAGCCAGTCAGGGGCAGGGCCAGGAGCCCAGCCAGGCTGAATGGGCTGTCCCTGAACCACGCTTCTTCTCCCAAGTCCCCTGTTCCAGCCCTGCTGGCTTCTCCCTCCCCAGGGCAAGGATGGAGGGAGAGAACGTGCCTGTAAGGGCATGGGCCGTGGAACCAGTGCACCTCCATCCGACTCCTTATCCACCAGCCACATGATCTTGAGCGTTAACCTCTCTGTGTTTTAACTCTTCATCTGGAAAAGGGAAATCATAAGAGTAACAGCCTCATGGATTGTCAGGAGGGTTAGAAGCTTTGCTATATGTGTAAAGCGCTTATAACAGTGCCTGGGAACCAGTGTCTTATGCATCGTAGTTATTACCGTTTGGTGATTATTCTCTGCCTATGTTGTAGGCATCCCCCCTGACGAGAGCCCCCGCCGGGGAGGTCCTGCAGGGCCCTACCTGCAGTCTCAGCGACTTGCGCTCTACGCCCAGGCCACCGAAGCTCTGCTGAAGAGCGGCGCTGCATACCCGTGTTTCTGCTCACCCCAGCGGCTGGAGCTCCTGAAGAGGGAGGCCCTAAGGAACCATCAGACACCCCGGTGAGAGCCCCAGCCTGTCACGGGTGCCTCCCCAGGGGTGGATGTGTTCGTTAGCTCTTGCTGTGTAACAGATTATCCCCAACTGGCTTATCTCAGGGTTTCTGTGGGTCAGGTTTGGGCACAGCTTAGCTGGCTCCTTTGGCTCAGGGTTGCTCTCAAAGCTGCGTCAAGGTCTTGGCCAGGCTTGCAGTTACCTCGAGGCTGGACTCAAAGGATCTGCCTCCATGCCTCTCCGAGGCTGTTGCCTGGAGGCATCTGTTCCGAGCCATGTGGGCCTCTCCACAGGGCAGCTCACAGCTTGGCAGCTGGCTTTCCTCAGGGCAAGCCAGGGAGAAGGCAGGGGAGAGTGAGGAAGGTGGAAGCTACAGCTTCTGCATAACCTAATCAGGGAAGTGACATCTCACGGCTGTGTCGTGCTCTGTGCATCAGAAGGAAGTCACTAGGTCCAGCCCATGCTCAAGGGCGGGGAGGACATGGCAAAAGCACCATGAGGCAGGGATCATTCTCCTCTTCCCCGCTCAAATGGTAGCCCACAAGATACGTGTCATGCAGTTTACAGATCCCACTTACTGTCTTGAGGATCGGTCTGTACGAGTCCATAAATTTTCCTCTGCTTGCGTAGTATTCCATCACAGGGCTGTATCATCACTCACTTGATCAGTTCCTTTCTAATGAAATTTATGTTATCTCTAATCTTTTGTTACTAAAAAAAGGGAACGGTGATGAATAATGTTGACGTACATCGTTTGGCACATGTGCAATGTGTTTGTTGGGTTACCTCCCTAGATTTGGAATTGCAGGTCAATTTATAGCTTTGATAGATGCTGTCTAGAGGCACTCTACTAGCTGTACTCCCATCAGCATCGTAACATTCAAGTTCCAGTTTCAGTGAACTATTTGGACAAGGGCTTGGATGCTCATGCAAGGTCGTGCCATCCGCTGCAGCATTGCCTTTTTAATCATAAACGGTCTACTTGCCCATTGACAGAAGATTTTTTTTTAAAATTACGATCATGTCCTATCCTGGATCCATACAGCCATTTATTTATTTATTTTATACATTTATTGATTTTTGGCTGCATTGGGTCTTTTTTGCTGCGTGCGGGCTTTCTCTAGTTGTGGCGAGTGGGGGCTGCTCTTCACTGCAGTGCGCGGCCTTCTCATTGCAGTGACTTCTCTTGTTGCGGAGCACGGGCTCTAGGTGCATGGGCTCCAGTAGTTGCAGCACACGGGCTCAGTAGTTGTGCCTCGCAGGCTCTAGAGCGCAGGCTCTAGATCACAGGCTCAGTAGTTGTGGCACACGGGCTTAGTCGCTCCGCAGCATGTGGGATCTTCCCAGACCGGGGCTCGAACCCGTGTCCCCTGCATTGGCAGGCAGATTCTTAACCACTGCGCCACCAGGGAAGTCCCATACAGCCATTTACGATTGAACATTTAGCTCAGTGTCAAGGATGGTACTTACAAGTGTTAGTTGTAACACTTGTTGTGTATCATTGTGTATCATTTAGGACGCTTTTGGGAGCAAGTAACAAATACTCTGTTTAAAAGGGACAAACCAGAGCTTCTCAACTTCAATGTGCAGAAGAATCACCTGAGGGTCTAGTTAACGGGCAGCTTCTGATTTAGCAGGTCCAGGGTGGGTCCAGCAGGTCCTGAGATGCCGCATTTCTGACAAGCTCCCAGGTGAGGCTGACGCTGGAGGTCCACAGACCACACTTTGAGTAGCCAAAGCATAAACCACATAGACATTCATCTTCTCCTTCTGCAGAAGTCTGCAGGTGGGTGACTCCAGGTTGAAGCCAGCAGCTTTGAGAAGGCGAGACTCTATTTTGGCCTGTTGCTGCGTCCCTTGCTGCCCCCCTCCCCCATCAGTTACAAGTGGCTGCAGCACCCTGTGGCTCGCCCGCTTCTCACTTAGAGAGAAAATCTTTCCCAGAACCTTCATCCTCCGCTACCCCACAAGCATACTTTTTTTTGAATCTCAGTGATGGGTCAATGCTTTAGGGGAATGAGATTGCATGCTAAGCAAAATCAGTCATGATTCACCCCCTTGGGTGACATTTGACGTTTCCTCATTAGCAAGGAAGAAGGGAAACAGGCTTGTGACTGCTGTGCTATGTTATCTCACTTAGTTCTCCCACGCAATAACCTTATTATCCCCATTCAAGACTGAGGAGACAGCTGTAAGAGGTAAATGACTTGCCCAAGGTCATACAGTTATCAGAGGCAAAGGTAGGGCTCACGCCCGTCACCACTACTCTTAGTAACTCTTAGTTACTGTGCTGCTCTGCTTCCCAACAGGTATGACAATCGGTGCCGGAGCCTGAGCGAGGCGCAGGTGGCCCAGAAGCTGGCCAAAGACCCCAAGCCTCCCATCCGCTTCCACCTGGAGGGGGAGGCGCCTGCCTTCCAGGACTTGGTGTACGGCTGGAATCGGCATGAGGTGGCCAGTGTGGAGGGGGACCCAGTCATCCTGAAGAGCGACGGCTTCCCCACCTACCACCTGGCCTGTGTGGTGGACGACCACCACATGGGCATCAGCCACGTGCTGCGGGGCTCCGAGTGGCTGGTCTCCACCTCCAAGCATCTGCTCCTCTACCAGGCCCTGGGCTGGCAGCCCCCGCACTTTGCCCACCTGCCCCTGCTCCTCAACAGGGATGGCAGCAAACTGTCCAAGAGGCAAGGGGACATCTTCCTGGAGCATTTTGCTGCCGCCGGCTTCCTGCCAGATGCCTTGCTTGATATCATCACCAGCTGCGGCTCAGGGTTTGCAGGTACCCACTCCCCAAGAGGTACTGGTGGAACCATAGCACTGAAGAGCCAGGGCCTTGGGTCAGGCCGCCTGGCCTTCAGTCCCAGCTGTGCCGCCCACTGGCTGTGTGATCTTATACATGTTCCTTCTCTTATTTGACAAGTGTTTATTGAGCCAGACACCGTGTTACGTGCTTGGGGCTACAATGGTGAACGAGGTAGATGTAATCCCTGCCCTCAAGGATCTTACGATCTGTGAGCCTCGGTTGCCTCATCTGTAGAATGGGCTAAGTGTCTACCTCACAGGGTTAAGTTAGGGTTCACTGAGCTCCTGACTATGAGGCACCAGCACAGTATCTGCCACACAACAGCACAAAAATTACAGATCCTGTGATTATTGTAATTACATTATTAATAGAAGTACAAGTAGGTACTCTGACAGTATTACTAGTATTACTGTGACTCTAGTTTATTCCAAGCTGACCAAAGACTTAGGCCCACATCTTGATGATGCACAAAATAGGATGACCTTTTGGAGGGGGGACGATTTCTGAAAATGTGGCCATAGTCTGCTTCCTGCTTTTTCTGCTCGTATCTCATTTAAACCTTAAAACATCCTTGAGGGGTATTTATTATCCCCACTGTTTGTTAGAAGCTTGTGAGGCTCAGAGAGATTGAGTAACTTGCCGAAGTCACACAGCTAGTGAGGGCTGTGGCAGAGGCTCAAGCCTAACCAGGATGCCCACTGACTGCGTGAGATGGGGCCACCGCTCGTGAGAAGCAGCTCGTGCCTCAGCTCTTCTCACTCTGGCTGCACTTTGGAATCCACCAGGAAGCTTGTGAAATGCAGTCCTGCTCAGACCCCATCCAAAACCAGTCGGGTCAGATCCCTGGGGCGCAGCCAGGCAGTGAGCAGGCTGTTCTTGCAGCTCGTGTCTTTGAGGGCCGTGAGGGTTGATTTAGCCGGATTGTTTTCAAGCTTTTTGTTCTTTAGTGACAGAACCCTTTCTGCAAATGAAAGCTCACTCGGGCCCTTGGTATATAAAATACCTAGAAGTCGAATCTGTTTGGGCAGCCTCCCTTGTGATTGAAGGTGGAATGGCAGGGTGGGGGGTGGGTGCTGAGCAGCTGGGCCTGCCTCACTTGCAGAGAACCAGATGGGCAAGACCTTGCCAGAGCTGATCACACAGTTTGACCTGACCCGGGTCACCTGCCACTCGGCCCTGCTGGACCTGGAGAAGCTCCCAGAATTCAACAGGTGAGCGGGGAATCTGGAGCACCCCCAGGAGAAAAGGGCTCACCGGCTGATGCTGGGTCCCCACGGTGGAAGGTCTGGTGGGCTCTGGAGTCACACACACTTGATTTTGACCATGGGCTCAGGTGTCTAGTGCCATGTGACCACTGGTAAGTCACCTAACCTTCTCAAGCCTCTTTTCTCTAAAATGTTTTCTCACCTTAGGCGATTGTTCAGTTAAATTAAGCCTCAAACTATTTTGCACATAGAAAGCGCTCAGTAAAATGGCAGGTACGGTTTTTGTAGTCACCATTATTCCTGCTCAGCCCCTCCCCTACCCAGCCAACACAGTAACAGTGCTGTCTCATGGCGTCTGTTTTACATTTCAAGTAGTTCTTCCCTGCGAAACCTCCAGCCACAGTTACAGTTTGGATCACTGTTGCCACGTCTCAGGCTAAGGGCATTAGAGGGAAAGCCAGAGGACAGGTCCGTACTTAAGGGCCAGGGACTCTTTGATGTCTTCTCTTGAGCCTTGGTTTGGGGGCAGGCTCTTCTCGGTGCTTTATGGCATGAGCCCAGGGGATTCACATCGACTGCGGGTGTGTCAAGGACGTTACTTCATGTACTTCCCACATCAGACATAAGGTCAGTTGTATGATTTTGCCCTAGTGTGCATACAAGGAGAGCAAGATGTCAGGAAGTTGAATAACCAGCCCAAGTTCAAGTTCACACAGTAATGATGGGCATCTTTTTTTTTATTATTATTTTTATTTATTTATTTTTGGCTGCGTTGGGTCTTCGTTGTGGTGTGCAGGCTTCTCATTGCGGTGGCTTCTTGTTGTGGAGCACGGGCTCTAGGTGCATGGGCTTCAGTAGTCGCGGCTCACGGGCTCTAGAGCGCAGGCTCAGTAGTTGTGGCACACAGGCTTAGTTGCTCCACGGCATGTGGGATCTTCCCGGGATTGAACAGAGATCGACAGGGATTGAACTCCTGTCCCCTGCGTTGGCGGGCGGATTCTTAACCACTGTGAGTGGGCATCTCTTGAGTGGGGCATTCAGGAGCAAACAGCGTGCACATTGAATGCAGCCTGTTCTCTACCTTTCTTATCATGGAGAAAGCGATATCCCTGGGAGTAATGGAGTTGGAACGGGGGAGATACTTTGTGACCCATTCCAGTCCTCTGCAAAGCATGAGGGGGAGCCAGAGGGAGACGGCAGTGGGCTTTTGCTTGGGATAGATGCCCTCAGTTTTTGTGCAGCCGAAGCTGTTCTCTTTAGTTGTTTCTGTAATCGAGCCACTGCTATGATTATTTCAGTAACAGTTGTAAAGATAGCAGTTGTCATAGCAGTGCTGGTGGTGTGGTGGACGTAGTGATGGTAACGAGCATTTATCCAGCACTTGGCTACGTCCCAGGCCGTGGACTATCTCAAGCCTGATTTCTTTCTTCCCACTGTCTCATCTAACTACTAAGGAGGTCCTAGAAACAGTTTCAGTACAAATTTCATGTGATTTCTCTTCATTCGTTTTAGAAAGTGATGGTTTTGGGCCAGTGAGTGCTCCAGATTGCTTCCCAGACGGTCTCATCCTTCCACCCTGTGTTCAGACTCCCTGCCCGTCTCCAACTGCCGGGTGTGGCAGTAACGCAGGCCTGGTACTCAGTGCTTTACAGACAGCTCCTCATTTACTCTGCCCAGCGCCCTGTGAGGGAGGCCCCGTTGTTCCCACAGTAACAGACAAGCACCCTGAGCTCCGAACGGTTGTGTAACTTGCTGCAGACATCTGGCAAAGCTGGCTTCACCCACAGGCCTGTGCAGTCTCAGAGCCCATGAGATGATCAAGAGTCCCTTGCTGCCTGCCTTTCTTCTGCGGCAGGGACAGGGGCCCAAGTGCCTACAGAATGGCCCTCGGCCCCTCGCTGCTCGCTCTCTTGGGTCCCTCCAGTCGTGCTGGGGACAGGGTGAGGGCAGCCCAGAGACAGGACTGACAGGGCCTGGTTTGAGGCTTGGAGTCTTAGAGGCTTTGTTGCTTCTGAAGGAGGGAACAAGGCGGTTAGAAGAATTCTGAAAAGGGAAAGATTTGACCTGACAGGAAAACTTGAGCTTTTTAACTGTGAGCCGTGAATTCAGAGAACTCTGCCGTCTGGACATGGCTTTGAATCCTAGAAATCCATATTCTCGACCTCTGCCCTTTTGCTCCAGAGCCCCATGCTTTGAACTCTGCGAGGAGGCAGGCACCGCCAGGTTCTGCTTTGTAAACTCAGGTGCCTGTTGAGGCCAGGCAGGTAGCTCAGAGGAGGGTGGCGGGCCATGTGAGAGGCCCTGGGGAGCAGAGGGACGGGCAGACCTTCGGCACCCTCCTCTCTGCTCCAGCTGGAAGGTGTCATTCTTCAAACCCCACCCACTCCACTGGGGAAGAGGGTTGTCTGGGCTGGAGATGCCCGTGGCAGGACGGTCCCTTGGCTTCCCCGGCAGGCTGCACCTCCGCCGGCTGGTGAGCGATGAGACCCAGAGACGCCAGCTGGTGGGGAAGCTACAGGCTCTCGTGGAGGAGGCATTCGGGAGCCAGCTGCAAGACAGGAATGTGCTGGACGCAGCCTACGTGGAGAGGATCATCCTGCTGAGACAGGTGTGGTGTCGGGAGCTCGGGGGGACCCAGGGAGCGGGTGGCGCCCCACTCCTCCCCCTCCCGCTGCGTCAGAGCCCCATCCCAGGATGTTCAGTGACCGCCTCTTCCCCCAGGGTCACATTTGCCACCTGCAGGATTTGGTCTCCCCAGCGCACTCCTACCTGTGGACTCGCCCTGCTGTGAGTCGAGCGCAGCTGGGCGCCATCTCGGAGAAGGTGGACATCATTGCCAAGCGTGTGCTGGGGTGAGTGTCCGCAGGCTGAGTTCAGGGTTCTGCACCTCTCTTCCCTCTCTCCCCACCAGGGCCCCCTTCACTCCAGGGCTCGGCTGTCAGGCCTGCAGTACAGCCCCAGAGCTAGCAAGAGGTTCTCCGTGAGACGATCACTCACGGCTCTCTTGGCGGAAGGGCTGACCCTGAGGAGCCCAGGCTCTCCCAGGAAGAGGCGGTGGTCTGGCGCTGGGATCGGACCCACCTGGGTTCCGTTCCCGCCCCACCCCTCGCTGGCCCAGTTAGTTCACTTGCCCAGGGGGCTTCGATTTGTCCAAGTGACTGCACGTCCTTGAGCTTCCATTTCCTCATCTATAGGGTGGAGATGATACGAGGTCTTATTTTAACAGTAGCAGAACTCTCCAGATTACGAGGGCACAAAGTGCAACCAAAACGGGCTTAAGCAAGGGGGGGAATGATTGGTGTACGTAATTGCAGAGGCTAGGAGAAGAGCCAACTTGAGGTCCAGCTTAAAGCTGGGGTCAAAAATACGGCACCAAGACCTAATTTCTCCCTCTGCCCCTTTGACTTTCTCCCCCACTCCTCCACGCCCGCTACTCCTTCTGCAGGGGTTCTGTATCGGGTAGATGGAGCGTCGGATGCTCTACCAGACAAGACAAGCGCCTTTCTCCCTTACCTGCATCCAGAGCAGGCAGTTTGGGCTGAAGAGCTTTCTCCACATCTCCAGGGTCCTGTCATCCCTGGGTTTTGCTCTTGTCCCCATGGTCCATGGTGGCTCACAATTCAGCCAGAGGAAGAATGAGGGAAGGGAGAGGGGGACGGGATACTCCTCCCCCTTAGGGACTTGACTTAAAAGTGACACACTCGTTTCCACCTGCATCCCGCTGGCCCGAACACCTGTCTTACGGCCACTCCAAGCTACAAGGGAGTCTAGAAAATGTAGTTTTTACCTTGGGGACCAGGTGCCCAGCTGAAAATTGTGTCAGTACACATGAGAGGGAGAAAGGATACCAGGGGCAGAAGCAGCCTCTCTCACAGTCTCCACTGTGGTGGTTAAGACAGCAAAACCTTAGCCTCCGGCTCCAGCTGTGTCCTAAGAGTCACTCTGATGGGGCCTGATTGGCCTGGTTTTTCTGTCTCCGAACTAGTCACTGAGGCCTGGAGAATGTGATGTGCTGACTGGCTTAGGTTAGGTCATACGTGGGACCCTGAGTGGACCCCCCCCCCCGCCCCCAACCCAGCCAAAGCACATGGGCTGAGGATGGAGCCGGGTAGTTCCACAGGGAGAGTTAGGGCCTGTGGAGAGAGTTATAAAGATTAAATTAGATAATAGCAAACACTCGTGTGGGTTTGCTTACACATGTGCCTACAGCATGCTGTGTTATATATCATATACGTTAGATGTGTACACGGATACGTGTGCATGCTATGTGTGTGTGTACACTTGAATTCAGAGCAACCTAATAAAGGAACTCCTGTTAGCCCCATTTTAGCAGGTGAGGAAATCAAGGCACAAAGAGGTTAAGTAACTTGTCTAAAATAATACAGCTAGTAAATTGAAGGAGCAGGGATTGAGACGCAAGCCGGCTGGGGCGAGAGACCGTATGTCCAGTCATATTCTCTGTTGCTTATCTTTGGTGTAAAGTACTTGGACAGCCCCTGATAGCAAGCAGCCATCACAAGTCTTCCCTCCTACTCAGCCCCCAGCAGAAAGGCAGTCCCAAACAGCAGCTTCCTTTGTGAAACGTCTGTGGATTCAAGGAAATGTGTATACAGCTCCATTCTTCCAATTTTTTGAATTTAAAACTTAATTGTTATTAATACATTCAAACCTCTTGAACCTCTAGGTTTAAAACCTAGAAATTATTTTGAAAGGCATATATCAGGAGTCCCATTTTTAATCCTTGTCCCCTGTCTGCCCTGTTCCAGAACCCTCTCTGGATGTTACTACTATTCATAACTATATCTAAATAACCCTTAGTTTTCAGCTTTTTTACACAAAAGGTACAATACAGGGAATTCTCTGGTGTGGTTAGGACTCAGTGCTTTCACTGCCGAGGGCCTGGGTTCAGTCCCTGATGGGCAACTAAGATCCTGCAAGCCGAGCAGTGCGGCCAAAAAAATACGATACAATAACACTGTTGTTTTTGGGTGGGATTTTTGTGTTATTTTTATTTTTTTAGTGAAGTATAGTTGATTTATAATATGTTAGTTTCAAATGTACAACATAGTGATTCAGTATTTTTATAGATTATACTTCATTTAAAGTTTACAAAATAATGGCTGTATTTCCCTAAGTGTCTATATGTGTTTTTTTGCTTGTTTGTCTGTTTGTTTTTCCCTTAACAATTTATCTTTAGATCTGTCCAGGGCTTAGAAGAGCATCCTCATTCTTTTCCCAGCTACAGCTATTCCCTTTTTATACCACTTTACTATGATTTATATAATTCATATCCTATTGGTGGACATTTGGATTGCTTCCAAATTTTGCAGTTACAGACAATCACAGTGAGTAACCTTGAATAGACATCATTAAGCACCCTTACAAGTAAATCTCCAGGATAAATTCCCAAGAGGTATTATTAGTAATAATACTCCCTTAATTTAGGACATTCCACACGAGGCTGTTAGTTCTAGTTCACTGGGCTAATGTCTTACCTCCCCACCCCTGCCATGGGATTAGATTTTAGAGACCCTCGGGGGCTCCCACTGAAGGCAAGAAAGCTGACGCCCAAATATTTAGAAGCTGCCGGATCTCTGGAAGTCCCTCTGTGCCCACACCAAGGCCTGGACCAGCTCTAACATGCCCTGGCTGCCAGTGTTGGCTGCCTGGGGCCTGTTACTCTCACCAGCTCCTTGGCAGCCTGCTTCCCCACAGTGACATTGAGGAGTGTGTTTGGTTTTTTCCCACATTACATTTTTGGGTTTTTTTGAAGTATAGTTGGTTTACAATGTGTTAATTTCTGCTATATAGCAAAGTGATTCAGTTATACGTATTCCTTTCCATAGTCTTTTCCATTATGGTTTATCACAGGATATTGACTATAGTTTCCTGTGCTCTGTGGTAGGACCTTGTTGTTTATCCATTTTATACATAATGGTTTGCATCTGCTAGTCCTAAACTCCCAATCCTTCCCTCCCCCCACCCCGCCCACCCTTGGCAACCACAGGTCTGTTCTCTATGTCTGTGAGTCTGTTTCTGGTTTGTAGATATGTTCATTTGTGTCATATTTTAGATTCCACATATAAGTGATATCATGGTATTTGTCTCTTTCTGAGACGTACTTCACTTCGTATGATAATCTCTAGGTCCATCCATGTTGCTGCAAACCACATTACATTTCATATTTTCAATATTTCCTCTTCTCCATTTCATAAATAGCAATCATGTGGTCCGGTTTTAAGATGCAATACAGATGATTATGTTTCTCAAATTGAAACTGAATTGCTCAAGTACTGGAGTGAGTAAGGAAATCTGCACTAAAAGCCTTTTTGTTTCAATTCCTCATGAACCCAGTCCCTGAGCCGGTAGCCCTCCACCCTGAGCTGATGTGGGGAATGGAGTGTCTGGGCCCTTTCGGGAGCAGGTGGTGTCAGAGGTGGCGTCGAGGATCGTCTGCACTAGTGAAGATCTCCAGCCTCGGTCCCTCTTCCGTGTGGAATGACTCCCCCTGCCCTGCTCCTGTCTCTTGCTCTAACTCAGAATCAGGGCTGGGACGAAGTTTTTGCAAGTCGTGCTCTGACTAATTGGGGACTTTCTCTTGAGCTCAAACGTGCTTTGGGGAGAGGGTCTCAGCTGGACTGCCAGGAAAGGGGGGAATGGTTGCTGGCCTGTTTTAGTTCCTTAAGTGTTTCATTTGTGGGCAAAGAATGGTTGTAGCAAGTTGGCGGCAGGGACATTACTGGAGCTGGGGTCTCCCGATTTCCTTCTTTCTGCTCTTCTCCGCTACATCCCCCAGAAGTCTTGAAGCTGTGTTTCAGATCATTTCCCAGAGGGCTTCATTCTTCCATCCTATGTGTAACCCAATCCTAAGTGTCTTTTCAGATCCTCTTGCAATGTCTCTGAGCTCTTGGATGTAATAAATATTAGCTAATATTTAACTTTTTATTGAAATATAAGAGCTCATCCTTTCAAGTACTTACCATCTGTTCAGGCAATGTACTTAGTGCTTTACAAGTTTTAACTTAGCCCCACCATAGCCCTGTGAGGTGCAGACACTTATTATTCCCACTTTACAGGTGAGAAAACTGAGGCATGAAGATTACATGGCACAGGTAGTAATCAGTAAATCCTCTATGGTTTCCTCTTAGTTTCCCTATTTTATGCCCGCTTGCTTGGATTCTCTGTGTTTGTAGTCTCTTGGTGGTTGTTTCTTCCGCAACTAGGATGGGGATGGGGGTAGTAGATATCCCCCACCCACAAGGCAGGCTTGAACATTGGTTGTGCTGTTAATGTATATTGTAGCTGATGGATGAATCTTCTGAAGTCCTCCCTTCCACCCACTTGCCACTGGCCCATGCTGGCCCCTTATAGACTGGCCCTCTTCTAGGCTTTTAGAAGGACCCGGTATGAGTTTAACTCAGGACATGCTGAACGGAGAACTGAAGAAGCTGTCAGAAGGTCTGGAAGGCACCAAACACAGTAACGTGATGAAGCTCCTCCGAGTGGCCCTCAGTGGACAGCTGGTGAGGCGGGTGGCTGGACTGTGCCCTGGAGCCCTCATTTATCCACTCAGCTAACATTCACCGGCAGCACTAAGCTCAGTTTGGGGGCTGCAAAGATGAATGAAACATGACCACCCCCCTCATTCAGTCATTCAACAGACAATACTTACTGAGTACCTACCATGTGTAAGCACCATACTAGGTACGGTGTATACGGTAGTGAGTGAAACACATGTGCTCCCTGCCTTCATGGAGCCGGCGGTTGACTGGGGCTATTGGACCTACCAACCCAGCAAGAGCAGGCTTCTGGGACCCATCCTTAGAGATCAAAGCCCGTAAAATGCAGACTCTGCTCCTTGGGATGCAGGCAGCAGTGCTGGGGTTGGCCTAGGGGTAACTTCTGCAGACCAAGTTGGGTGTTCATTCCTCAGGCATCTTAAGGCAATGTTTTCTCTTTTTGTTCTTAGCAAGGACCTCCTGTAGCTGAGATGATGTTGTCCTTGGGACCAAAGGAAGTGCGGGAACGAATACAGAAGGTGCTTTCCAGCTAGAGAGAAGGTGTGCAGGACAGCAGAGGTGGCCACAGGAACTGTTCTTGTGGGACCTGCCCTCAGAGGGGAGGAGCAGGAGGCCTGGGGCCCATCGGAAGCTTGTGGAAGGAACCAAGAATGGACACACAACCTCTGGGTGCACAGGTGCATTTATGGCTCCACGCCAGGCCCATCCTTATCAGTTGGCCAGGGTCACCGAGCCCCCCTCACCTACCTGACGCTGGAAAGGAAGGCCTCACTTATGGTTCTGACACCACAGTACACAGCAGAGGTTAGGAGCTGGCTCACTGAGCAGTTGCAGCTCATGTTTTAGTCTGCTCGGGCTGCTATGAAAAAATATCACAGAATGGTGGCTTAAATAACAGAAAATGATTTTCTCACAGTTGTGGAGGCCAGCAGTCCGAGATCAGGGTGTTGGCAGGTTTCGTTTCTCCTGAGGCCTCGCTCCTTGGTTTGCAGACGGCTGCCTTTTTGCTCTCTCCTCACAAGGCCTTCCCTCTGTGTGTGCCCTCGGTACCTCTGTTTGTCCAAAGGCCCTCTTAAGAGGACACCAGTGAGATTGGGTTAAGGCCCACCCTCACGGCCCAGTTGGAACTTAATCACTTCTTTAAAGGCCCTGTCTGCAAATTTTGTCACGTTCTCAGGTACAGAGAGGTTGGGGCTTCACGTGTGAGTTTTGAGGGGAACACAACTCAGCCCATGCATAACAGCTTGGCAGCAGCCTGGATCCCTGGGTCCCAGTTCTCGGGCCCAGTTTGACTTTGTTTTTTAATTTATTTATTTTTGGCTGTGTTGGGTCTTGGTTGCTGTGCACAGGCTTTCTCTAGTTGCGGCGAGCGGGGGCTGCTCTTCGTTGTGGTGCGTGAGCTTCTCATGGCGGTGGCTTCTCTTGTTGTGGAGCACGGGCTCTAGGCACACGGGCTTCAGTAGTTGTGGCACGTGGACTCAGTAGTTGTGGCATGCGGGCTTAGTTCCATGGCATGTGGGATCTTCCCGGACCAGGGCTGGAACCCGTGTCCCCTGCATTGGCAGGTGGATTCTCAACAACCGTGCCACCAGGGAAGCCCCCAGTTTGAGTCTGGAGCAATGACTGACAAGCTGGGCTGAAGTGGCTTGTTAGACTTTCTTTGGGGCTTATAAGGGAAGAACCCACAAATCTGCCCAGGGGGAACACTTAACGTTTTATACTACTCTTTGTCCTTGGGCTTGGGGCAGCCTGTATCTCCCTTCCCTAAAGTTTGTCTCTTCCTCTTTTCCAGTTCTCCCCCGGTCCTTGGACTGGAGACCTCTACCCTGCCTGCTCTGCATCTTTTTCTTCATATTTGCCTCCTTCTTCCACCCATCATTTGTAAATCATTGTCTGTGGATTTCTGAAATGAGATGTTCTTCTTGGGGTGAATAGGAATAGCTGAAGTGGAAGGAGGATGGTGGCCGGCTACAAAGACCCCTACACAGCTACTGGGCTTCCCCTTTGTAGCCCCCAGTCATCGCTGCCTCCTGGCATTCACACTGAATAGGGCTGACTTCTGTGTGGTGTGTCATGGCTTCCATGTTGTTCTCTTGGATCCCTTACTCTGTGGGAAGCCAGCGTCCACACTGTGAAGACAGTCAGAGAGACAAGGATCGGAGGCCTTTGGACAACAGCCGTATGAATGGACCATCTTGGGAGTCAGTCTTCCAGCCCCAGTCAAGCCTTCAGATGACTGCAATGCTGGCTGACATTTGACTGCAGCGTTCTTTTTTTTTTTTTTTTTTTAATTGGAGTGTAGTTGCTTTACAATGTTGTGTTTGTTTCTGCTGTACAGCAAAGTGAATCAGCCACACGTATACATATATTCCCCTCTTCCTTGGATTTCCTTCCCATTTAGGTCACCACAGAGCATTGAGTATAGAGTTCCCTGTACTATACAGTAGGTTTTCATTAGTTATCTGGTTTATACATAGTAGTGTGTATGTGTCAATCCCAATCTCCCAATCCATCTCACCCCCTCATCCCCCTTAGTATCTATACGTTTGTTCTCTATGTCTCTGTTTCTGCTTTGCAAATAAGTTCATCTGTACCATTTTTCTAGATTCCACATACGTGTTAATATACGATATTTGTTTTTCTCTTTCTGACTTACTTCACTCTGTATGAAAGTCTCTAGGAACATCCTCGTCTCTGCAAATGGCACAATTTCGTTCCGTTTTATGGCTGAGTAATATTCCATTGTATATATGTACCACATCTTCTTCAGCCATTCCTCTGTTGATGGACATTTAGGTTGGTTCCATGTCCTGACTATTGTAAATAGTGCTGACTGCAGCCTTCTTGAAAGATCCTGAGCCAGAACCACTAAGCAAAGTTGCTCCTGAATTTCAGACATACAGTTATGAGATAATAAATATTTATTGTTTAAAGCCACTTAGCTCTGGGATAATTTGTTACCCAGTAAGAAATTGCTAATACACTGTCCTTTTCCAGGGGAATAGGGAAAGGGGATTAAAGAATTTGCTGAGTTTCACAGAGACCTAATCCTTGCTTGAAAAGTACATCAGATAAAGTTCTTTGATGGCAAGCAATGGAAACCAGCTCTGCCTAACTTAGGTTTATTGGAGACTTAAGTTTATGGGAGTTTAAATTTGTGAAAAAGTCATAGACTCTATGGGAAAGCCAAAGAACCAGGTCTTGGAAAAGACAGGAACCAGGGAAGCTCTGAGCATGCAGGCAGCAGGAGCTCATGGCCAGTCTTGTCTGTGTTCTTCAGTGGGAACACATGAACTCTTAACTATTTTTTGTTATGGTTTCTCTGTATTTTTTCCCTTTCAGTTTTGGATGATTCAGCTAAAGATTCAGATTCTAAGAAGAGAGTGGTTGGGCTAACTGAGGTCATGTTACCATTCCTCAGCCAGCAATATATCCAATGGAGGAAAAGTTCCCAAGGAGAAGTAGGGTGGTTTTTCCAGAAGAAGGGGCAATGGCAGAAACAACAGGTGTTCCGCCAAAGGGGACACAGAATAATAATGCTTGCAATTTATTTTGCGTTCACATGAGCCTCAACCACTTCTGGGTTTCAAATTATGCTGGTAGGGGACTTCCCTGGTGGTTCAGTGGCTAAGACTCCATGCTCCCAATGCAGGGGGCCTGGGTTCGACCCCAGGTCAGGGAACTAGATACTGCATGCATGCCGCAACTGGGAGTCTGCATGCTGCAACTAAGACCCGGTACAACCAAAATAAATAAATAAATATTTAAAAAAAATTATGCTGGTAAACACTTTAGTTCATCGTCTCTTTAAATCTTCACAACCCCATGAGACAGGCATTATTATTATGGTTGTTGTTTCTATGTTTTAGATAGGGAGACTGAGGCTCAGAAAAGTTGATCAACTCTTCTGAGGTTTTAGTATGAGGCTTACGACAACCCAGAGTCCAACCTCAACTCTTGTCACTCTGAGTGACATCAGAGCCTTCGATTCTAAGACATCAAGTATGCTTACAAGAAACTCTAGCTCTTGGTTAGGGAATCTGACTGTTTTAACAAAATGAGTGATCAAATTGCTGAGTCGGTAAAGTTGTGGCCACTTTCTCGGTTGGACTGAGTTGTCTGAGAAGCAGCATGTATCCTCTGCTCTGGGGTTTTGCTCAGGATCAGAAGGAATGTGTAGAAGGACTTCACAGTTTAAATAACCTCAAGTCCGTCCCCCAGTGTTTTTTCAGAGTATAGTGAAGTGAAGGCCATAGAGGCCAACTGTCTAGACTCAAAAACTGGTTCTGCCACTTACTGTGTGACTTCTGTAGCTCAGTTTCCTCATTTGTTAAAATGGGGATAACAGTTGTATCTGTCTCAGCAAATTGTAAGAATCAAAATAGATGACATATGTAAAGTTCTTAAAACAGTGCCCGGCACTCAACAAATGTTATCAATTGCAGTCATCCTCATCACCAGTATTTTCATCACCAGTATTTTCATCCTTTCATCCTTGGTTGCAACACATAGAAACACACTCAGACTAACTTAAACCATGAAAGTAATTTACTGGAAGATTTAGGACCCACAGATCCCAAGGGCAGGACTTCCAGCTGGACTTTACAAGAGACTGGAATCTGTACCCAAAAACCTATTCGGACCCAACACACTCACCTTTATCCCTCTGAAACTGCAGTTTCTAACCTTCGTCTCTGTCTGGGTGTCTGCTACTCTCATCTTTCTTCTGCAGGCTGGCTTTCTCTTATCTCTGCAGCTGTCGAACAACTGCCCCAGCCCTAAAGCTGAATCATCTCCCCTCTGCTACACTGCCAATTCAATAACTAGTATTCCATGTCCAAAATCCCAGGAGAGAATCTGATTGGCCTAGCTTGGGTCAGCTGTCTACCCCTGGTCCAATCAACTGTGGCCAGTGGGACAGAGTCATGTAAGCAATCATGGCTGCAGGAGACCACTCTAGTGATGGAGAGGGCTGTTCCTCCCCCTGAGCGTATTCTCTTTCCATGGAGTTTAGAGTATACCTTTGCCAGAAAATTACTATTTTTCTGTAGGCAACTTTGGAATCTCATTCATATTGCCTTTATCCTAGCTTATTTTTTTCCTCATAATGCTTATTACTATGTGAAATTATATAGTGTATTTGTACATGTTTATTGTCTGTCTTACTCTAAAGATAAGATTGAGACAGGCAATAAGTTTTTCTTATTCTTGGTCGTAACCATAGCACCTGACACATTGTCTGACACATAGTAGGGAGTCAGGTAAGCTCTCATGATGAAAAAAATGTTTGAGGCCTTCATCAGTCAGATCAGTTTCTTCAGAAGTGGCAATTATCAGCTGATCTAACTCTGCCAGATTCCAACAGTTTCCCAGTTTCACTTTCATTGACTCTGGGGAATCACATCTCTTTTGCAAGATTTGCAGTTGTAGTTAGCTATCTGATGTATTGCCTGTAAATTGCACCAAATCCAGCTATCTGTGAGAGACTGACCTTTGACAAAGACTTTGAAGACTGAGATAGATGGAATACTTCAATATAGAGGGGTGTTTAGTGGGACCTAAATTAGAAATTGTCTAATTGATTAAATATGTTTGTCTTATGATGAAATTCCCTACCTTCCCAGGGACCAGGATAATAAATACTTAGAAAATGAGGACTTCCTGGGTGAGGGCAGAACCCAGAGAGGGTAGTTCATGCGTTCATGTTCATAGATGTCAGAGGACTTTACAGATGAAGTGACCTTTGAACTGGGTTCTGAGGGATGAGTAGGAGTTTCCAGATCAGTGGGGGTTGGAAGGTATTCCAAACAAAAGGATGAAAGAGAATTTCACCAAGTTGGGTGGAGCCAAGGGTAGGAGTTGAGGGAGTGGGAGAAGTAGCTGAGAAACCAGGCAGAGGGAAATCCAAACAGCCCTTCTTTGCCAGGTTAAGGGTATCAAGGTGCCATCTGATGCAAATAGCAAAACATCCAGATTCAAACCAGCTTGAAAAGGAAGATTTAGTATCCCGCAAAGCAGGAAGTTCGGGGGTATGGCAGGCTCTGGGGTTGGTTAAGTAAGCGTTCAGTGACCTCAGTGAGGACTTAGGGTCTTTCCATCTCTTTGTTCTATTGGCCCCAGCATTGGCAACAGCCTTGGGTTGGTTCTCTCTGCTCACAATTGTCTGCCTAAAGTGCTCGGGCCTCTCTGCACTTCATGTTGTCAGAGAGAGCGTGGCTTTCTGTGTCTCTCTCCCTGAAAGCAAGGAAACTTTTCTCCAGCACCTTCCCCTTCGTGACTTCCCCATTCTTCAACCTGTCCCTTCGGGGAAGTGGGTGGGGGAGTCCCCATAGATCAGTCAGACCCAGAGCTGGGGGCGGGGCCAGCTCTTCCCTGGGTTCCTGGACAAAGTGGGGGTCCATTAGCGAAGACATGAGTTGGGTCTTCATGAAGTGGAAGGTGAGGAGCCACTGAAATGCTTTAAGTAGGGAAGTGACAAGATCAGATTTGTGTTTTTTTTAAAGATCATTCCGGCAGCTTTGCTGAAGAGAGATTTGAGCAGGGCTGGCCCAGGAGCGGGGAGCCCTGGTAGGAAAATGAGACGTGAAAGAGGGAAACAAGATAAAGCCATGTTTCATCCTCACAGCCTGACCGCCCCCCCTCCCAACCCCATCTACCTTTCCTGCTTCACTTCACTCATTCCTGCCACACGCGCCCCCTTCTCTTGTCTCCCGCCATGTAAGCCTTCCTTTGTGCCGCTATTCTGTCTGGAATACTCTTGTCCATATGCACTTTTTTCTATCTAATTCGTTCTTTTTGCGGTACACGGGCCTCTCACTGTTGTGACCTCTCCCGTTGCGGAGCACAGGCTCCGGACGTGCAGACCCAGCGGCCATGGCTCACGGGCCCAGCCGCTCTGCAGCATGTGGGATCCTCCCGGACCAGGGCACGAACCCGCGTCCCCTGCATCGGCAGGCGGACTCTCAACCACTGTGCCACCAGGGAGGCCTTGTCCATATGCTCTTCTGCCCTTTTGCCTGGTCAGCTCTCTCTCAGCCTTCAGATCTTTTTAATTAATTAATTAATTAATTTTTTGGCTGCATTGGGTCTTCATTGTTGTGTGGGCTTTCTCTACTTGTGGCAAACAGGGGCTACTCTTCGTTGCAGTACACAGGCTTCTCATTGCAGTGGCTGGCTTCTCTTGTTGTGGAGCACGGGCTCTAGGCGCGTGGGCTTCAGTAATTGTGGCACATGGGCTCAGTAGATGTGGCTCGTGGGCTCTAGAGCGCAGGCTCAGTAGTTGTGGCACACGGGCTTAGTTGATCTGTGGCATATGGGATCTTCCCGGACCAGGGCTCGAACCCGTGTCCCCTGCATCGGCAGGCGGACTCTCAACCACTGTGCCACCAGGGAAGCCCCAGGATATGCATTTTTTTAAATATAGAAGGCTGTAGAAGCTTGGCTTGGTACTCATTAAACTCATTATCACGCTCTGGGGATCTCCAACTTAGCCTTTATATCTGGGCAAAATGTTGGGGTCCCAGCCCAGGCCCGAGTGCCCTCCCCTCTGCCCCCTACCACCCCTCCCCCAACCCTGATTGCAGTAGGACAGACTAGCCAAGGAGGGGCAGCCTTCTCTGTCTAGAGAACTCCTCTTGTCTTGATTTCGGAGAGGCAGTAGTGAGTGGTGGCGTGAAGCGAGATCTTAACTCTCTGCCCAGGAATTGAACCTGGGTAGCCTGGATAAAAACCAGGAATCCCAGCCACCACCACACCCCCTGGCTCTTGTCCCCAGTGAAAAATGCATTTCTCACAGAGGCAAGAGCTGTAAAAACAGGTACAAAATTTATTATTAGAGACATAGCACAAATGGGAGGGCACACAGAGAAACAGTTTGTTAAGACAGAAGCAAGGCAGAGATGCCCCCAGAGAGAAAGGGTGTGGGCGTCCTCCCGAATGAGGAGGCATGCAGTAAAGAGGCGGTTAGGTCATTTATATAGAGCAGTTCTTCCAGGTCTTTGTTTACCTTTGGCCAATTACCTGGTTTCTTTTTCCACGCCTGATGCCCTAGGACCCTCCCCAACGTACGTGTGCAACTTTTTTCCAAGATGGATTCCAGCCCAGGGGCCTATGGGACGGCCTTAGCATCACATATTATGGGGTGGTGCACCTCCTTTTGACCCCCAAGGAGCTTTTATGCGCATGTGCAGTGTTTCCCTTGACCCAAGGATGGGAAATGTATGACCTCTTGATCTTTTAACAGGGTTTAGTCCCACTCTGTCCCTGCCATAAAAATGTCCAATGTCTGACAGATGTAGAGAACAAACGTATGGACACCAAGGGGGGAAAGTGGCGGGGAGGGGAGGTGGTGGTGGTGTGATGAATTGGGAGATTGGGATTGACATATCTACACTAATATGTATTAAATGGATAACTAATAAGAACCTGCTGTATAAAAAAACAAAATTCAGGGCTTCCCTGGTGGCACAGTGGTTGAGAGTCCACCTGCCGATGCAGGGGACACGGGTTCGTACCCCGGTCCGGGAAGATCCCACATGCCGCAGAGTGGCTGGGCCCGTGAGCCATGACTGCTGAGCCTGCACGTCCGGAGCCTGTGCTCCGCAATGGGAGAGGCCACAGCAGTGAGAAGCCCATGTACTGAAAAAAATAAAATAAAATAAAATAAAATAAAATTCAAAAATTCAAAAAAACAAAGTCCAATGTCTGGTTATTTACCCAATTTCTGTTGCTGGTTTTTGTTGTTGTTTTTTTTTTGTGTGTCTTCCTGGGACAGAATCATTTGCATGTCTATAGACAAGAATAATTTTCCATTGCTTTCAGTTATTTACAGTTTACAGAGAGGTAAAATAATTCTCAAGGAACCAAAATCAGATAACACAGAAGGGCTGCTGTAAACAATGCTTAGTTTTCACTGATTTCATACAAAATTTCCCAAACATGAATAATGTTACAGACTGAATGTGTCCCCTTAAAATTCAAATTCACACGCTGAAGCGCTTATCTCCACGTGATGGTATTTGATGTAGAGCTGTGGCAGGTAATTAGGTTTAGATGTGGTGCTGAGGGTGGGGCCCTCAGGATGGGATTAGTCCCCCGATAAGAGGAAGATATCAGAGCTGTCTCTCTCTCCACCCTGTGAACACAGCAAGAAAGCCCTCTGCAAACCTGGAAGCAGGTTGTCACCAGGAACCCATCAGTAGCACCTTGATCTTGGACTTCCCAGCCTCCAGTGAGAAATAAATGTCTGTTGTTTAGGCCAACCAGTCTGTGGTATTTTTTATAGCAGCCCAAGTTTACTAAGACAGGTAACAACTGTAAAAGAACCTGGCACACAGGGAGGAGTTCAGTCGGATAACTTCCAAATAGAAGGCAGCAATCTGTCAGATGGAGATGTGTGTCTGGACTTATTTTGCAGCTGAAATAGCACAGCAAATGTACATTTAAACTTAGACCGTGTGTTTATTTGGGGTAGGGATGGGACCTAAAATCCTGTAGCTACCTCTTACTGCTTCCACTGTTCATCTGGCCATTCAACAAATATGTATTGGCACTGGTGTGCCAGGCACTATCCTAGGTATTGGGGACATAAAAGTGTACAAAATTTCTGCTTATATTAGTGGGGTGAAGTAGGCAATTGAGTCTAGAGAATGTGTGCTTCCAAGGAAAATTACACGTTGTCTAGAGAGCACACCTTTCCAGTTCCTATCCTTCCTTTCACTGCCTCAGAGATGTCTTACACTCTTAGCTGTAGATAACTGAGAGCAACGCAAATAATTCTTGCCTGTAAACAGGCAAATTGGGGAATTCTCTGGTGGTCCAGTGGTTAGGACTCCGTGCTTCCCTGGTCGGGGAACTAAGATCCCGCAAGCCCCATGGCGTGGCCAAAATAATAATAATAATAATAAAAATTTTAAAATGCAAATTAATTCTGAGCTAGTTTTGTGTCCACCTGCACATCTGTTCCAACATTCGTTTATTCTGTATAAACTTGCCCTTTTTCTGACTTCCCTTTTGAACGGATTATGACATCCGCTTGGTTCTCTCGTTTAATTAGAGTTAAAATATTTAACACGCGTTCATTTTACAATTCATGAGAACCATGACTTTTTTGGGGGGGCAATTACCCTTTGACACAGTAAGTAAATATCTAGTACGCTCATGGTGTAATGTGTTACGGAGAAAATAAAGCAAAGTATGGAAGGAGGTGATGGTCCATAAAGACCGTCCGGAATAAAAATGCTAGAAGAATTCGTTACCTGAGACTCAAATTTAACGGGGCGTCCTCTAGTTCATCTGGCAGGCCTTGCAAGGTCGGCTTGACCGACTTTGACCTGGCTGCGGGTCTGCAAGACCAGTCCGCGAGCCCGACCCGCGCGTGGAGGAGGGCTGTCGGGGAGGCGGCACCCCCGGGCCGGGGCCTGCGCGGAGGCGGGGCCTGGTGTGTGGGCGAGGCGCCACAGGCCCCGTCCCATCACGTGCCGACCCTCGCCTGCCGCGTCGGCAGCCCAGGAACACTCCAGACGCCGGCGGCTGAAGGGCAGGGGCGGCCGCGGCCTCGGCTGCGGGGCTGGGCCTATGGCGGCGACGGCGACGGCGGTGGCGGTGGCGGCGGGGGCCGGGGCCGCGGCGGGGGCCGAGTCGGCCGAGGGGCCCCCGGGGCCGGCGGCGGCGCTGGAGCTGTGGCTCAGTGAGTAGCCAGGGCCGCCCCTCGGCGCGGGCCCAGCGCCCCACGTGAGGCCTGGCTTCCCGCCTCCCTGGGCCTTTCTTCTGAGACCGGCGGCCGGACAGGTGGCCGCGGGGCGGCCGGCGCCCGGGGAGGCGGGCTGGGCCCGGCGCGGGTGGGAGGATCGCCGCGGGGAGGCCCCGAGAGGAGTCCCAGGAATCCGCCAGGGCTGCGAACCCGAGGCTGGGCGCCCTGCTCCCCATCCTCCTCCCAACCTCCCCCAGTCGCGGTGCATAAACACTGTTAACAACATAATGGCTAAGGTTTATTGAGCTTTGCTTTTATGCCAAGCACTGTGCTGAAAAGCATTTCAGCCACTGTTAATCCTCATTACGACCCCAAGAGACAGCTTCTGTTTTTAACCTCGTTTTACAGATGGGGACCTTTCGACTTCCTCAGTTGTGCAACATACCCATCCTCTGGGAAGGAGCTGTCTCTGGCTGCCGACTTTAATGTCAAAACAAGCCCTTTACACCTCTTGTGCATGTTGGTTGTGGCCGGGTTTCTTATGTGTATTGTCTCCTGGAAGACTCACGGCAGTCGTTAAGAGTCGTTTTTGTTCCTACGTTACCGGTGGGGACTCGAAATTCCAAGAGAATAAAGCATATGCTCCTTGTATTGGGCTCTGCTGGGTGCTGGGAGTACTGAGATGCGTAACACAGGGTCCTTGCTCACAAAGACATTTTTAAGTGGGTGGTACAAGCCGACAATAACAGCACTTTGTTACATTAACTGAAGATTGGGAGGGAGCCGGGTTTAAAGTGCGGTGGTGGGAGTTGGGTTTGTTTACCTGGGCATTGTCTCAGGGGACATAGCATTTGAGTGGACAATGGAGGCGACAGCGTTTCAGATGCAGGAAACTGCATGTGCAAAAGCTGGGGGAACAGGAGGGTGTGGAGCATTCTGGGAAGAAGGAGGTCATTACTGCAGGAGTGCAAAGCATAAAGAGGCTGCACTGCTAATTGGGGTGAGATCTTCAAGGGTCTTGTATGTTGCAGCAAGGAGTTCAGTTTATCCCTGATGCAGTAGGGGAGAGGATGTTGGCGTTTTCAGCCTGGGACTCTGATCAAGTACACTTGTTAAAAGCATCACCTGCAGCCGTGAGAAGAGACGAATTGGATAGGGATTGGGGAGTTCAGGCAGAGAGAGTAGATGAAAAGCTCTTCTGGTAGTGTGTCGGGGGTGAAATAGGACAAAGGTATTGGGATGGAGAGTAGAAATAATTAGCTAGTACAATCAGCAGGTTTGATGCATTAGAATAGAGGCCAGAGACCAGGAGGCGTTTAGGATGGATCCCAGGTTTCAGGCTCAGGTAACTGGTTGGTTACAGATATCTCACTTGTTGACTTGTGGAGTTTGAGGTGCTTGTGGCACAAAGAGAACCTCTCTGGGCAGTTGGTTGGCTCCAGAGAGGGTAAGAGCTGGAGGTCAACTTGGGACCTTCAGTTCATTGGCAGTGAGCTTGTCCAGGGAGGCTGTGCCCGTTAGGAAGAGTAGAGGTTTGCAGATGGAGCATGGAGAATCTCAACATGGATGAAGCAGGTGGGAAAAGCAGCCTGGAGACAGAAGGCGGAGGCTACAGGCTGGGCGTGGAGGGGGAAGCTTGGACGGTGGGGAGTTGCAGGTGGATGTAGTTGGTAGGTGGTTTTGCTGCTGAGAGAGAGAGTAGGAGGAGGAAGGAGGAGGGGGAACTTCGAATTTGGCGACTAAAAGGTTACTGAAATACCTTAGTGCTAAATGGTGGGGACAGAAGGTGGTTGACTAGGAGGCAGTGGAGTTGCAAAATCAAGTGGGCCGAGTTAGAGGCCAGCTAGCGGCCGACACAGGTGGGGGAGAAAAAGGGAACCTTGGCTGCTCAAGGAGGGGGTCCTGAAGCTCCAGCTGTTTTAGGCCAGCCAGTGTGGTCCCAGAGTTGTGAGATCTTCCAGTTGTTCAGGTAGGGCTAGAACCTGTACCAACAGCACACACCCACTCCCCAGTCTCGACAACCAAAAATGCCTCCAGACGTTACCAGATGTGCCCTGGCAGAGAGGGCAGACTCACCTCTCCCCTCCCCGCCTGAGATCCTCTGAGTTTGGGCTCTGGAGTGTGGAGTGGACTGCAGAAATGTATCTTGTAATCTTCGTGGTTGTGGGACTTGCACCTCCCCTCCCCCGCCCCTCCATAGGGCAGAGAAAGTGAACTGTGTAAACCAGACTTCTGGGGGGCTGGGGCGCAGTGGAGGTGGTACGTGGGAGGACAAGGGGTAGAAGGGCTGGTGGTGGGGCAAGGACAGGAGTGTCGTTGAAGGAAAGCACCGTGAGTCTGGACTGGATGGAGAAGGAAGTCACTCTGGGGGGGTCTGGGGACTGCCGAGCTCAGCTCACTGGCAGGTCTTACCTCAGCAGGCAAGGCAGCTGTGCCTCTAAGATCGGAATGTAATACCATGTCCGTCTCGGGGCTTAAGAGGAGTTAGTACATGTGAAGCACTCAGGATACTGCCTGGCACACAGTGTTGGCTATTATTATCATTAGTCTTCTTAGTTGGGAGTGGCAGAGAGTAACTCATGTTGTGTTACCAAAAAAGAAAAGAAAAACGTCAGACCTAGGAAGCTGTTTCAGCAGAAGTTCATGCTTTAAAAATACAAGTAGCAGGTGTGCTAGCTTTCTGTGTGCTTTGGTGCGCAAGCTACTGAGGGTCTAGGTCCAGGCAGCTGAAGAGTGTGGTTAGCAAGATGAACAAAGATGCGCAGATGAGAGCAGCCATTAACCAAAAGTTGATAGAAACTGGAGAAAGAGAACGCCTCAAAGAGTTGCTGAGAGCCAAATTAATTGAATGTGGCTGGAAGGATCAGTTGAAGGCACACTGTAAAGAGGTAATTAAAGAAAAAGGACTAGGGCTTCCCTGGTGGCGCAGTGGTTGAGAGTCCATCTGCCGATGCAGGGGACACGGGTTCGTGCCCCGGTCTGGGAGGATCCCACATGCCACGGAGCGGCTGGGCCCGTGAGCGGGGGAGGCCACAACGGTGAGAGGCCTGCGTACTGCAAAAAAAAAAAAAAAAAGAAGAAAAAGGACTAGAACACGTTACTGTTGATGACTTGGTAGCTGAAGTCACACCGAAAGGCAGAGCCCTGGTACCTGACGGTGTAAAGAAGGAGCTCCTACAAAGAATACGAACATTCCTTGCTCAGCATGCCAGCCTTTAAGATTGAATTAGATTGTGTTGTTTTGTGGTTTTATTTCTGAAAGTAAAACTTGCCATAAATTACGAATCGATTTCCCAAAATAAAATCCTTTCTTGTATGATGGTATACAGTTTTCAGTAATGATGTATACAATTGTATTGATTTTTTTCCCCTGAATGTATTATTTTAATAAACGTCTCAAGAATGAAAAAAAGAAACAAAAGTAGCAGCTTCTGGGCATTTTGCTGCTTTTCTTACCCCACTTAGTTTATTTTGGGCATTGTTCCACATGACTGCATTTAGAGCTGCCTCCTTCTTGTTAATGAACCGCCTCATGTGCCCCATTCCTTGGGGTGCTATGCTCTGTTCCTTGTTAGCGGACACTTCGGGTTGCTGGGAGTCTTGGGCTATTAACAGCAGCCCTGGGGCCTCCTGGTCTCTAGCTCTGGTAGTGCTGCCAAGGAGGCAGTAGCTTAAGTAAAGGTAAGGCAGGCTGCTCAGTAAATCTCTCTCTTCTTCCACTCGGACCTACTCCCAGGTGAAAAGTCCTGTCCCCTAGCCTCGCTTTCATGCCTCCTTTGGGGATGGGAGTGGCTCTATTTATACTCTCCCAGCTTCTCAAGGGTTATCCTGGAGCCCAAGCGTAGGTCATTCCTGTGGCGGGTCTTGCTTGGGCTTTCAGCGTGTGCTTAATTGAATGATTGCTGGATATAGGGGTCGATGTGTACCCCATGTAGGATTCCCCCATGCAGTGAGCACTGCTACGGGGCTGAGTTCTAAGTGTTCTCAAAGTGAGTGCTCCCCACAGCCTTAGGGCTCCCTTTACTAGCACAGGCTGCTCTAGCGCCAGGGTCATGACCCTGGTGGTTGGGTGGCAGCTGATGTGAGATGATTTGACTTTTGAATTAGTCACTGTTAGATGAACCATTTCAGGGAATTCCCTGATGGTCCCGCGGTTAGGACTCAGTGCTTTCATTGCTGTGGCCAGGGTTCGATCCCTGGTCGGGGAACTAAGATCCCACAAACCCACAGCATGGCCAAAAAAAGATGAATCATTTCATTCACAGGTGGAGGGCTCAGCTGTTTTCTTTCCTTCTTCTTCTTTTTTTTTTTCAATCTTCCTTTTTAAAAAAATTTTTTTGGTGGGTGAGTGCACCGTGCTGAACTGCGTGGCATGCAGGATCTTCGCTGCGGTGGAAGTACAGAGTCTTAACCACTGGACCACCAGGGAAGTCCCCCTCAGCTGTTTTCTTAATACCTCTCACCCTGTAGCACAGCGGTCCCCAACCTTTTTGGCACCAGGGACTGGTTTCGTGGAAGACGGTTTTTCCACAGACGGGGGAGTAAAGGGGGGCTGGGGGTGGGTGGATGCTTCAGGAGGTAATGCCAGCGATGGGGGAGCGGCAGATGAGGCTTTGCTCTCTAGCCCGCTGCTCACCTCCTGCTGTGTGGCCCAGTTCCTTACAGGCTGAGACCCAGTAAGGTCCACCCGGAGGTTGGGGACCCCTGCTGTAGCAGACTTGAAATGCATACAGACATTGCTTTTATTAAGCAAATATATGGCAGTAGTCCTATATTTGTCCTGCCCGAGTGCCAGCTAATTAAACCACCTTGGTGCCCAGGATAGCCATTCTTTTTAATGATAAAGGCATTTGTGATGAGATAAATGCTTTTATTTAATTTAATTAATTAATTTATTTATGGCTGCATTGGGTCTTCGTTGCAGCATGTGGGCTTTCTCAGTTGCAGCGAACGGGGGCTACTCTTCGTTGCGGTGCGCAGGCTTCTCATTGCGGTGGCTTCTCTTGTTGCAGCGCACGGGCTCTAGGGTGTACGGGCTTCAGTAGCTGTGGTGCATGGGCTTAGTTGCTCCGCGGCATGTGGGATCTTCCTGGACCAGGGCTCGAGCCTGTGTCTCCTGCATTGGCAGGCGGATTCTTAACCACTGCACCACCAGGGAAGCCAGTGATAGCTGTTCTTGATGGGGCGGTGATAGGTGAAGCAAAGTAGAGTGTTTTTTTGTGTTTTTTTTGCAGTACACGGGCCTCTCACTGTTGTGGCCTCTCCCATTGTGGAGCACAGGCTCCGGACGCGCAGGCTCAGCAGCCATGGCTCACGGGCCTAGCCGCTCCGCGGCATGTGGGATCTTCCCGGACCGGGGCACGAACCCGTGTCCCCTGCATTGGCAGGCGGACTCTCAACCACTGTGCCACCAGGGAAGCCCAGGGTTTTGTTTTTTTTAAAAAATTAATTAATTAATTAATTAATTTTATTTGATTGCGCTGGGTCTTAGCTGCAGCTCGCGGGCTTCTTAGTTGCATCACGCAGGGTCTTCATTGTAGCATGCGGGAACTTTGTTGCAGCATGCGGACTTCTTAGCTGCGGCATACATGTGGGATCTAGTTCCCTGACCAGGGATGGAACCTGGGCCCCCTGCATTGGGAGCATGGAGTCTTAATCACTGTGCCACCAGGGAAGTCCCAGAGTAGAGGTTTTTTGAGTTTTTACCTGGCCAGGCCCTGTCTGACTCCTAGCCACTCCTTGGGGCAAATTGGAGTCAAACAGACGTGGACGGTTGCTCTGGGCTGATCAGACCGAGCTACTGGTCCTCTGGGGGTCATTTTCTCTAGAGCTGCTCAAAGCCACTGAAATAGCTTGGCAGGGTGGAATTAGGTGTTCAGAGATCCAGTTAGTTCAGAACTGGAATAGCCATCTCCCGGTGTCAGCAATATGTGCAGCCAACTGGCCAGACTCTGCATAGTAAAAGATGAATCCTTCATTCATTAGTAGATGTCCATGCTGATGACTATTTTGGGTGCTGGAGATGGGAAGGTGAATGAGACCGACCTTCCTCCTGCCTTAGGGAGCTGATAACTTAGTGGTAAGAAAGTCAAGGAAGCTAGTTCCCAAAAGAGGCCCTGCCTTTGCCAAGGAACTGAAGACTTAACCCTGAGAAACATTTGGGCCCTGGAATCAGGCAGACCTGGGATTGAATTTTTGCCATTTTCTAGCTTTGTGGCTGGGCAGGTTTCTTCAGTGGTGAGGTAATAGTACCAACTTCAGTTGTTCTGAGGTTTACAGGAAAGGATGCTTGGAAAACACTCAGCATCATGTCTGACCCACAGCAAAAACAAAGCGGGGTGGGAGGGCAGCTATTACTATTATTGCTATTATTTGGGAGCTGTGAAAAACCTTGAGGGAATCCTTGTCATATGAGATATAGCAAATAAAATAACTTACACTTTATAGATCTTTTTGCTGCTTTGCCTTGGTTAAGGGTTTAGAACATTATTTAACCTTAGAGGTTTTTTCCTTCCTTTCTTTGGAAAAACTGGTGACCTGGCAGTAGGGGAGGAGGGAGAGAGCTGGATTCTGCATGGTGAATTGGGGTCCTGCCTGCTCTTCTCTGCCACTAGGGCGTAGAGTCAAGTGTTGAGGTCTGAATGCCTTTTAGGTGTCAAGCTTGACCTTGTAGTGAAGTGAAACTTAATGAAGCTTAAAGGGTAAAGAATTATCTTAGATGAGTCAGATCTCCTTAATCAGACTCTCTGGAAATCACTGCCTTAAGTTTATTTCATGAGTAATTATTTTGTGCCTATGGGTATGGCATTGTACTAAGCACGGAAACATATGGCTTCTGCCTTTGTTTTTTTTTTTTTTTTTTTTTTTTTGCGGTATGCGGGCCTCTCACTGTTGTGGCCTCTCCAGTTGCGGAGCACAGGCTCCGGACGCACAGGCTCAGCGGCCATGGCTCACGGGCCCAGCCGCTCCGCAGCATGTGGGATCCTCCCGGACCGGGGCACGAACCCGTGTCCCCTGCATTGGCAGGCGGACTCTCAACCACTGCGCCACCAGGGAAGCCCCTGCCTTCGTTTTTTTTTTTAACATTTACTGAATATGTTGCTACCAACTTTTTTTTTTAAATATTTATTTATTTAGGCTCTGCTGTGTCTTAGTTGCGGCATGCGGGATCTTCATTGCGGCATGTGGGATCTTTAGTTGCGGCATGCAGACTTCTTAGTTGTGGCATGCATGCAGGATCTAGTCCCCCCACTAGGGATTGAACCCCGGCCCCCTGCATTGGGAGTATGGAGTCTTACCCACTGGACCACCAGGGAAGTCCCTCTGCCTTCATTTTGAATAAACTTTTGAAGTTTAAGTGTAATAAGTCATGTGTACATACTAAAGTATAGACAGAGACTATTATAAGATTAGCTATCTTTTATTGATTACTTAATGGTTGCTGCTATACTGAGTACTTCAGACACTGTCTTTTAAAAATCTCATGGCTATCCCATGAGGAGGGTACTATTTTCCTTATTTTATAGTTGAGGAAACTGAGGCTCAGAGAGCCCAAGGACATGTAACTAGTAAGGGATGGAGCTGGAGATCCCCATCCTGAAAGAGCAGATAAGATGTGGGCCTTCTAAGAAGAAAGGGATGGCTTCTGTTTTGTGGGGGTGGGAGATAGAAAGATTAAGAAAGTCTTTATGAAGTGGCATTTGAATTGGGACTCGAAAGGTGAACGGCATTTTGAGAGATGGAACATAGGGAAAGAGCTTTGAGGAGGAAAAAGGTGAGGGGCATATGGGAATTGATCATCTAATTCCTTTGCTCTCCTTTGTTGTCCTTTTTCACTTAGGATGGAGTTGGTGGGTGGGAAGATGGGGGATTGAGTACCTGTCCTCTGAATCTCATTGTTGAGCTGTGGGGCACATGACTTCTGCGTGACATAAATGTGACTGCTGTCTGGAAAAGTTAAACTCTGGATGACTGTGTAGTCTTAAGTGATCAGAAGGGAGGAGAATTAGTAGGGGCTGGAGCAGTGGGAGGAGGGTTTTGGGAGGAGGCGGAAATTCAGAGTGGCCTTGAAGAATGGATAGGATTTTGAGAGGAGAGAAGTGGACATTCAGGCAAGAGGAATAGTGTCAGAGATGTGACCATAAGAATTACTTATTTGCAGAGCTTGAAAGAGCTTCTCTGTCAGGACCAGTAAGATATTTCACTGGAGAGCCAGGTAGGCCAGGACAGGCTGGACAGTGGGGAGTAAGGGAAAGGGCAGGATGAAGACAGTCTTATGAAAGGGCAGGATGAAGACAGTCTCAGCAACTCCTTTGTGAGAATGTGGCCTGGTTCAGTCTGCGGGCGCGGCGTGTGGAATGGGCATCCTTGTTGGGTTGCTGGCTGCGGATTCTAGGCAGCAGCAGTGGGAGGAGAGGAGGAAGCTGCTACCATCAAGCACCAGGAAGGATACACACAACCCCTTATTCCAGGAAGTCAAGGATTGCCCCTCCCTTCCGTGGAGCATGGTCTCAACATTAGGCCTTCTGACAATCCCTCTTTCTCCAGGTATCTCCTGCTCCTGGCTGTGCCCTCGTGCTCTTCATGCTCCGTGTCCTCGTATTTCATCCGAATATAAATGTTCCAATGGGGGAGACCCTAGCGTGACTAGATCTGGGTTCCTTGGCCATGTGTATGGTAGCAGAGAGAAATAGCATTTTGAGGAGTGAAGACAAGGAGGTCCTCTCGTCAGACTGGATAAGCCACTGACATGTGGAGAAGCTTCTTACACAGGATGGTCAGGAGATTTCAGAAGAAGGAGGCTCAGATTTAGGCCTGTTACTTTGAGGATATGGTGGGAGCTGCTCAGGGCTTCATTGTATGTTCTAGTCTTCCTGTCACATGGCTAAGAAGCTTACAGGTTCTGGCCCACGCCCAGATGCTGGCCCAAGCCCGTCCTCACTGCAGGGCCAAAGTGGGGGAGTCCTGACACGGGCATGAAGAAGGTGCACATAGGCCATCCCCTGCACTGGGAATGGAGCCCCTTTTAGGACAGTAGCTTGTTAACCAGTTGAGCTGTTCATTCAGTCAGCAAACAGTCGCTGAGGCCGTATCATGGGCCAGACACTGTGCCTGACAGTGATGATGAGTACAGGCCCCTGTCCCTTTCAGCTGTCTGCTCCCTGGGTCTCATCCCCTAGAGGTGATGTCACAGTCCTTGGCTGTTGTCATATTTGGGGGGCTAGTGGTGTGGAGAGGTGTTTGTTTCTCTTTATTATACTTTAATTTTATTTTTTATTTCCTTGACAGATAAAGCCACAGACCCAAGCATGTCAGAACAGGATTGGTCAGCTATTCAGAATTTCTGTGACCAAGTGAACACTGATTCCAGTGGGTAAGGTGACTTCACACACATGCTTGACTTTGGGGGCACCTCAGACTGTGCATGCCTTTGTTTCTCAGGATTGTTTCACGTAGCATAGATTGTTGTTTCATTTTTTTCTCCCTCCGTGATCTACTGAGTACATTATTTTTCTAGAAATAGCAAATTCATGTGGTTTTCTAAAAAACAAATAGTCAGTTTGTAACTGGCAGCTACTTAATACATTTTAAATAGTGTTATGAAACACTGCTCCTGAGGAGGTCTCTGAGTGTTAGGGACAGAATGTAGCTAGGGTGCGCAGCAATGTGAAAGATCAGTGTGTTCTCCATAATTTAAATGCAGTCTTTCTTAAGGAAAAGCAGGGGGAAAAGGGGTAAGATTTTGTTGAATTTGGTTTCTAAAGTATCTGGATAGGAACTTAAGAAATGAGTCAGTCATCCGGATGTTTTATCTCCATGTTGCTGAATATTCATTTTGAAACGAGCAAGAAGGTTGATCACATTTTCTGCTCTAGTGTTAACTGAGCAGTTGTCATATGACAGACAAGGTCTGTGCTGCTCACGACCAAGTTACTCACAGGTCTGGAAGTTGTAGGGGTGGGTTGACTGGGGAGAGGATGGTGTGCCCTGGAAGTGTAGCTATGAGAAGGGTGGGTGGGAGTCGGCCGCCTTCAGGGGCTCATGCCTGGCCGTGTGCAGTCACATCCCACCTCTGCTCTGGGACCCGAGCTCCTGGAGGAGAGGGGACTTTACTGGGTGTGCTCAGCCAGACTGGTGTGTTCCTCTCCGCCCAGAGTCCAGGTGTCTTTGTTTTCCCTTAGCTCAACCCATGCACCTTGGCTACTGGCCCACAAGATCCAGTCTCCACAAGAGAAAGAAGCTCTTTATGCCTTAACGGTGAGTTCGGCTTGCCCCTTAGCCTAAGCTCTCCTGTCCTGAGGCTAGCGTTTCTGTGGGGAAGAGGCTCTGAGAGGTTCGCCTTCACTGGCCTTGAGAAGGCAGGCTGGAAGGAGTTCTGGGCTCAGATCGCCCCATTCTAGATCTGTTTCTGGAGAGTAGTATTGAGCCCGCTTTGCGAGAAGGAAAGGAAGGCTTTATTTCTTTTTGCCCTTTTTAGACCCGGGCTGGCAAGGTCAAGTCCCACAGGGCCAGATTGGTAACATAAGTGAATGAGCTGCTGGGTGGGGACCAAGGAACTGGAGAGCCCATGCCCAGTCTAAAGAGGGCAGCTACAGTGCAGGACCTGCTGGCTGTTGCCAGGCGTGAGTTTGGGCCCAGTGTTGCTAGGACTTCTGTTTAAGAGAAACTGGGAATCTAGATTTTTAAATATATGAATTCTCTGAATTTTTCGATATTGGTGACTGATTTGAAATGTTAAACAAGATTGTGGACCAAAGAAGACATTTATTTACAGGCCCAATTTGTCACTCAAGTGCCAGTAGGTAACCCGTAGTTTAACAGTTCTTGGGTATTCCACGTCCAATTTCCGCCTCTAAGGAGAAAGAAGGAAGTGATTCTCTGACTGCTTTCACCTGCCCAAAGGGTCTCCTTAAAAGGTGGGGTGAGGGACTTCCCTGGTGGTCCAGCGGTTGGGGCTCCACGCTCCCAGTGCAGGGGGCTGGGGTTCGATCCCTGGTCGGGGAACTGGATCCCACATGCCGCAACTAGAAGATCCCGCATGCTGCAACTAAAAGATCCCACACGCCACAACAAAGATCCAGCACATGGCAACGAACATCCCGCGTGCCACAGCTAGGACCTGGCACAGCCAAATAAATAAATAAATATTAAAAAAAAAAAAAAAGGTGGGGTGACCTCAGAGCACCCCACTGAGCTATTTCCTGGGCACAAACCTGTCAGTTACAAGAGCAAACAGGTTCTTTTTTTTCTTAATCTAAAAGTGTCACCCTTTCTCCCAATCTTTAGTGTCCTCAGTCTTGAGCCATGATTTCAGCAAATATTTACCAGGTTTGAAATGAGCCCTGGAGCCAATGGTTTCCCCTTCTCATGGGGGTCCTGTGTCTGCACAGGTGCTGGAGGTGTGTGTGAACCACTGTGGGGAGAAGTTCCACAACGAGGTGGCCAAGTTCCGCTTCCTGAACGAGCTCATCAAAGTGTTGTCCCCAAAGGTGAGTACCCTGGGCTTGGCTTTGCTCACTGTTCTGCATGCACCCCAGGTTTCAAGCTCCTGTCACCCTTCTTGGTCCAGAGGCAGACCTGCTCATGGATAGAACCTGCCAGGCTGTCCCAGGTGTGTGAGAGCTGAGAGGTGAAAGCTTTCCTCTCCAAGGTGTAGGATGATGGTCATCAGCTGATCCCCGCCCTTTGATGGTTAGCATTTTCAAATTCTCCCTTTAAAAATGGCCTTGTAGACAGGTGGCCTAGAGGGGCGAGCACAGAGGGGCCTAGCTGGTGGGCACAGGTTTCCTGGTAGAGACAGCAAGACATGTTGGGTGTAGCTTTAAGTTTCCTTCTTTCCTTGTCTTCTGTAGCTTTTCTCCTGTGTCTTAGCAACACCATTCTCGGGTAACTAACATTGGTGGAACCTTCCTTTGCTGCTTCCCAGCAATTCTGATACCAACTGGGTGTCCTGTGATTTAATTCATTTCTGAAAATAAGTACTCAAAGTTAGGACAGACCCTACAGGTTAGGAGCTCAGTCCTACCTAGACTACACCTACTTCAGACACCAGTCATAAGTCTCGGGGATGCCCAAGCTACTTGCACTTCTGCCCGACCAACTACAAGTTCAGAGCTTCCTCTGACCCCCTCTGCCAGGTTCCATCATTCACTAGAAAGATTCACAGAACACAGGAAAGCACTATACTTACTAATATTCTTTTACTGTAAAGGATGTAAATGCAAGAGATACATAGGCGAAGGTCTTGGGGGTGAAGGGGGAGCAGAGCTTCCATGCCCTCTCCCGTGGAACCTGAGCATACCACCCTCCCAGCACATCCATGTGTTCAACCAGAAGGCTCTCTGGACCTGGTTGTTTCGGAGTTTTTATCTGGAATCATGTGGGCATGATTAATTTAATCACTGGCCATGTTATTGAACTCAGTCTCCAGCCTCCCTCTCTTCTTGGGGAGGTCAGGATAGGGCTGAAAGTTCCAACCCTCTAATCACATGGTCAATCCCGCCCTTGAAACTAAGTGCCCACCAGGAGTGTTTAGCAGAAACTCAGGTATGGTCCATGGGGGCTCATTGTAAATAACAAAAGACGTTCCTGTCACTTAGGAAATTCCTAGGGTCTTTGAAATTCTGTGCCAGGAGGAACTGAGGACAAGGGTCAATATATATATATACACATATATATATATATGTATATATATATGTTATTTCTTCAGAACATTTGAGTTTCAGCAATTCCTTTCACTTTACCTTATTTTCATTCCAAATACATTTTTATTCTAGACTTGCCACAGTCAGATAATGAGTGTCCCCAGTGGCTCTAACCTAGGCCAGTATATGGTAGGATTTAATTTTAGTGGCTTTATAGGTTGATTCTTTGAAACCCAGAAAGAGCCCTGGAAATGGGTGCCAGGTAATTCGTCTTCTCGCTGTGCCTCAGCTCTACCAGCCTTGGGCGGCTCACTTCTCTGGGTCTCAGCGGCCATCTCTTTAGTGATAGTGTGGGCTGGGCAGTCTACTAGTGAAACTGCACAACTAGGATGGGATTTGAACCCAGCCAAAGCTCAGATTGGGACTTGAATGCACAGGCTGGGACTCAAACCCACTGTCTTTTTTCTTTTTTAATCATTATTATTAATTAATTAGTTTATTTTCAGCTGCATTGGGTCTTCATTCTTGCGCACCAGCTTTCTCTAGTTGTGGCGAGTGGGGGCTACTCTTGGTTGCGGTGCGCGGTCTTGTCATTGCGGTGGCTTCTCCTGTTGTAGAGCACGGGCACTAGGTGTGCGGGCTCCAGTAGTTGTGGCATGCGGGCTCAGTAATTGTGGCTTGCAGGCTCCCGAGCACAGGCTCAGTAGTTGTGGCGCATGGGCTTAGTTGCTCCGCGGCATGTGGGATCTTCCTGGACCAGGGCTCGAATCCGTGTTCCCTGCATTGGCAGGCGGACTCTCAACCACTGCGCCACCAGGGAAGTCCCAAACCCAGTGTCTTTTAATTAAAATCAATCACCTGGTGTCAGGACTTACTGAAGCTCAGGTTCATTATGTCTCTGCACAGAAGGAGTTCAGCAAGGGGCAAAGTGATCGGCAAGAAGTAGATTTATTAATATAGGACGCCTGTGAGGGATACAAGTGTGCAGGCAAGGTGGCTCTGCCCCGAGAACTAAGTGGGAAAACAGATTTATTTAGAGAGATATACATTCCAAAGGTAGAATGTCTCAAAAGGTGAGAGCAGTCCTGAAATACGGGGTGGTTAGTTTTTATGGGTTGGGTGATTTCATAGGCTAGCGAGTGGGAGGATTATTCCAGCTATTTTGGGGAAGGGGCAGAGATTTCCAGGAATTGGGCCACCGCTCACTTTCTGGCCTTTTATGGTCAGCCTCTGAACGGTCATGGCACCTGTGGGTGTGTCGTTTAGCTAATGTATTACAATGAGCGTATACTGAAGTTCAAGGTCTACTGGAAGCCAAATCTTACACCATCTTGGGCCTAATCGGTTCTAACCAGTTTATGTCGTATTCTCAACAGCTGTGTCATTCTCTAAAGGTTACGTCTTGCCGCCTTCCCTCCCGTCTCACCAAGTCCCTTCCAGCTCTGTAATTCCCTTTCCTTTTTCAGTACCTAGGCTCCTGGACCACAGAAAAAGTTAAAGGAAGAGTCATTGAAATACTCTTCAGTTGGACAGTGTGGTTTCCAGAAGACATCAAGATCCGAGATGCTTACCAGATGCTGAAGAAACAAGGTCTCACTACCATTACTTATGTTGCATTCCCTTTTCACAGTAGTTGTTCCTTCTTGCTTTTTTGTACGCTTTGTTAGTTTGGGGTGAAAGCTGGAGATCTTGTGTCCAGTAGATACAACAATAGAGGCTGACGCAGTAATTTTGATCCCTGGAAATGGGTAGACCGTTCCTTCCGGTTGACGGGAGTTGAGCTAGGTTTGAGATGGTTGTTGCTGTAGTTACCCTCACTATGCCAGGTTCCAGACTCTCTAGTGTTAGCTTGTGTTGAGGGTGGAGGCTGACTTGCTAGAGCGTTTCTCTCAGTATCTGCTCTACTCTCAGCTTTGGGTCTTCCTCTTGCTCTACACCTCAGAGGGGGTCTTATTCCATCGCCTTTCCTGACAGTAGACCCTTACTACTTGTTCCTCAGTGCCCGTAGCCTGGTGGTGGTGGTGCTGGTTCTGCTGTGAGTAAGCCTCAGTCTCAGGCAGGCATGTGTCCCTGGTCTTGGTGGGACCTGTTTGTGATGCTGTCCCATCCCGACTCGGGTCTGGGCCGCGACACGTTGCTGCCCCTCCCCCAGGGGCACAGGCTTTTCTTTTCTTTTTTTTCCAGCTCAGTAGATTTTCACCACTGTTCTAAGGACAACAGGTTTGGTGTCCTTCCCCCAGCAGTGTGAGGCTTTTCTGTTGGGAGAGAAGGATTTCAGTGGGCCATCAGGCCTCTCCCATTCTTTTTTTGTGAGGCCTTTGGAGAATGAGCCTATTCCTCTTGTGTTGTGAGCCCCAGAGTGTGTCCTGTGTAGAAGCTGGGAGTCCATGTTCCTTTTCTCTTGGGCTCTGTGGGAGGGGCCTGGATTCAGCATGGACTATTTTTCTCCCTGTCGCATACACTCACTTAACATTTTTAGGAGTATTAGGGATTCTACACTAATTTCTGGGCTCTGGGAGATTGTATACCTGCATAAAATGATCAGTATTTGTATAGTGTAAGGCCCGTTGACCACTAGCCTTACGGTCCGGTTCTGCTCTAATTTAGTTGGCTCTGACCTCTCCAACTTTGTACTGGTTCCATGGATTCTCCCAAGGGAGGATGCAGAGCCTTGATCATACCCTGGGTGTATCTCTGTAAGGTCGTTGACAGTGTTTTCCTGGTGGGACATCAGGAACCAGGAGTTTCTGGGCTTTATACTGGATCCTGCTGAAGTCAACGGGTACCTATATCTGTATATTCATGAGTTGCATGTTTTAGGAATCATAAAGCAAGATCCTAAACTACCAGTGGATAAAATCTTGCCCCCACCTTCTCCCTGGCCCAAGAGCTCCATCTTTGATGCCGATGAAGAAAAGTCAAAGGTAAGGAGCTTCTCCCTGACCTTGGTGGCCTACCTGGAGTCTGACCAGACCCCTTCTTTTTTTTTATTTGAATTTTATTTTATTTACCTTTTTACACTGCAGGTTCTTATTTGTTGTCCATTTTATACATATTAGTATATATATCTCAATCCCAATCTCCCAATTCATCCCACCCCCACAGATCCCTTCTTTTAGGGACTCTCCTGCAATGTCCCCTGACCCCAAACCAAAGTGTGGGAGAGTGTGGGGAGGTGGGTTTTGAGTTCCCTGTGGAGCAGAGAGAGGTAGCTGAAGGTCTGGATGTTTTCTTTGTGGATAGGCCAAATAATAAGTGTCCTGTTCTTTATATCTTTCACTTTATCTGTTCAGTGTTCCTGAGGGAAAGAAGGTACGAAAGGATAACCCTAGTGGGTAATGTGGGTCGTCGGTCATATCCAGAGTGTGGTGTTGGGGGAGGAGAGTGGGCAGTAAAGAATTGGTTGTATGTTGGCTCAGATCTTTTTAGTGTCAGTAAGCATGATCTCACCCATTTTCCTTCCATTTTTGTCTCCCAGAATTGTTGCTCCTCAGACATCAGTAAGGAGAGGGAAGGGAAAAGCAAGGTGGTCCAAACCTAGGCCAAGACCCAGGGATAACTCCAGGGTGCCCCTGAAAGGTGGCAGTGCTTTTGGTCATTAGCGTTCTTGGTCCCTCACAAGGTCTGGTGAGTGTAGAACCAGGAAGACTCTAGTCCGAGGAGGGGTCTCTGGTACCCTCTGCCTTCCAGCTGCAACTGTCAGCTGTAATCTTCCCTTGGATCGAGGTGCTCACTGTGGGCAGAGTGAGCAGGGCTGTGCTGGGTTCTGGGCGGCTTTCCCTCTGGCTCCTCTCCTACAGGTGCTTCACCATTGCAGAGGGTGGGAGGAACGGGGGAGGAGGTGTGGCATGGACTTCTGAGAAAGATGGTCTTGTGTCAGCTGCTTAGACTCCCTGACACTCAGTATCTCCACCTGTCCTGCCACCCATCCAACAAAGAGTGAGTGACTCCTCTACCTATTGGGAATAAGGTGGACGAGATCGCCAAGGTCTGTCACATCATAGTATGCGGTCCAAGACAGCCTTGGCACTGTTGACATTTTGGGCCAGTTAGCTTTCTTGTTGGAGGTCGTTAGGCACTGTAGGATAGAGTGTGTACAGTATCCCTCTAACCGCTAGATGCCAGGAGTACCCCCAGTTGTGACAACCGAAAATGTCTGCGGACTTTGCCAGAGGTTCCCTGGGGACATCCACCGCCCCACCCCATGGAAAAACCAGTGGTCTGTGGGGATGGTCGTAATCCTTAGGTTACTGTGTTGTGAGGATTTGGTAAGGTAATGCGTATAAAATGTGCGAGCTGTTATTAGTGCTGACTCTGCTGTTGCTGGTGCTATCAGTCTGGGCCGTTTGACACAGAGGGAATTGGTTTCACCTAGTGTTGTTCCCTCTTCAGCTTCTGACAAGGCTTCTGAAGAGCAACCATCCTGAGGATCTTCAGGCTGCAAACCGGCTGATCAAGAATTTGGTCAAGGAGGTGGGCATTTTCCAGGGGGTTCTGCAGAAGCAGCACTTGACAGGGGCTGGACAGTGTATATGTGTGTGTGTGCTGGAGGGTGTGGGTACACAGTCGTCTGGGAGAAGGGATGGCTGCCTAGCCCTGAACCGGGGAGCAGCTGTGGGCTCCCTGAAGGGCAGCAAGGTGGTGACTGGAAGCAGAAACTGCTGTGTGTTTCTCTAGTACTTCTGTCTAGGAACTCAAAGCATTTCACAGACACCAGTTTCCGTCCCAGCGATGGGTATTGGTGTGGATAGAATCCAGGTTTGGGAATTTCTTTTCCAGAGGGATTTAGGCTGGTGGTACAAAGGAGTAGTCCCAGCTCCCCAAACTGCATTGTCTGTCCCAGGAATTCCGGGCCTTGAGCATCTTCTCTACCTGCTGAGTGAACACTCCATTCGCTCCGTGTTTTGGTGGCTCCCCTGAGCTCTCCACAGTGCAGCACCCCTTTCCCGGCGCTTGTTCAGGCTTTCTTCAGAGCTTCTACTCCCTCACTTCATCCCCTTTCTCCCAAAAGGAACAAGAAAAATCAGAAAAGGTGTCCAAGAGAGTCAGTGCTGTGGAGGAGGTACGGAGCCACGTGAAGGTGCTGCAGGAAATGCTGAGCATGTACCGCAGGCCAGGGCAGGCCCCGCCAGACCAGGCAGCCTTGCAGGTACTCTTTTTAAAACTAAATTTCAGGTGGCACTGAGTATCACTGACATACTGGGAATACACATATATTTCAAGAAGTCATCATACAATCAAAATTTATGTCCCTCAGCCGCCCCCAACTTCCTCATTCCCTTCCCTTCTGTTCCTGCCTCTCTCCCCATCCCCAGGCAACCACTGATTTGTTTTCTGTTCTGATTAGTATATTTTTCCTAGACTCTTATATAAATGGAATGATACAGTATTACACTTTTTTTTTTGGTCTGGCTTCTCTTCTCCTTCTTGGCGTTATTATTTGAGACCCGAGACCCATTCTTTTGTTTTTTTTTTTTTGGCTGCACCGCTTGGCATGTGGGGTCTCAGTTCCCTGACTGGGGATCAAACCCATGGCCCCTGGTTTCAGAGCGTGGAGTCTTTTTTTTTTTTTTTGATTGCAAAGCAGTGTTCATTATTATCATTTTTAACATTTTTATCGGAGTATGATTGCTTTACAATGGTGTGTTAGTTTCTGCTACATAACAAAGGGAGTCAGTTATATGTACACATATATCCCCATATCCCCTCCCTCTTGCGTCTCTCTCCCACGCTCCCTATCCCACCCCTCTAGGTGGTCACAAAGCACCGAGCTGATCTTCCTGTGCTATGCTGGGGAGCGCAGAGTCTTAACCGCTGGACCGCCAGGGAGGTCCCAGTAGAGTATTCCTTTTTACTGCTGAGTGGTACTCCGTCGTATGCGTACACCACAATATGTATATCCGTTCATCTGTTGGTGGATATTTGGGTTGTTTCCAGCTCTGGGTGATGATGAGTTAACCTGCTGTAAACAGTTGTATACAGGGTTTTGCGTGAACATACACTTCCCTTTCTCCTGGGTAAATGCCTCGACGTGGGATTGCTAGGTCATCTGCTGCATGCACAGTTAACTCTTTAACAAACTGCCAGACCGTTTTCCAGAGTGTTTGTGTCATTTCGTATTTCTGAAAGCAGTGTAGAGATTTCCCATTTCTTCACATTTACACGTCTTGGGATCTTTCTTTTTTTATAACACACTTACTGAGAATTTACGTAACAAGCTCTGTTTTATAGGTCGTGTATGAGAGGTGTGAAAAGCTGCGGCCCACCCTGTTCCGGCTGGCAAGCGATACCACCGACGATGACGATGCGCTCGGTATGATGTTTTTTTTCTTTAATTAAAAAAATATGTATATATTTATTTTGGGCTGTGTTGGGTCTTTGTTGTTGTGTGCGGGTTTTCTCCGGTTGGGGCGAGTAGGGGCTACTCTTCGTTGTGTTGCTCAGGCTTCTCATTGCGGTGGCTTCTCTTGTTGTGGAGCACAGGCTCTAGGTGTGCGGGCTTCAGTAGTTGTGGCTCGCGGGCTCTAGAGCGCCGGCTCAATAGTTGTGGCACACGGGTTTAGTTGCTGCACAGCATGTGGCATCTTCCCGGACCAGGGATTGATCCTGTGTCCCCTGCATTCGCAGGCAGATTCTTAACCACTGCACCACCAGGGAAGTCCCTTGGTACAGTCTTATTCTTTAGGCATAGACAGCACCCAAGAGTGCAGGACAGACGTGGGGCTTCCTGCCTTACTGCTGACGCAGAAACAAGACAGTAGTCCCTAGGTGTTATGGTGGTTGGGCTTGGGGAGGGTGTGGCCTGAGTTGATTCTTCTGATTTCCAGAGGAATCTACTATGTTTGAGCAAGAAATGAGCCGCAAGTCTGAAAGCATAGAAAAGGGTGGAAATTTACCATGTAGATTGGGTGTGAAGGGGATAGGAGAAAGAGTGGCTACAATTGAAGGCTTGAAGAAAGGCTGAACATTCTCAGAGGTCTGAGAAACAGCTGCGAGGGGCTCCTTGGAAGGTTTCACACCCAAAGTGCCTTCAGGGGCTGGGTGGGGAGTCTAAGTGGGGATACCAAGTGGAAGGCACAGGGGAGAACTGTAATCCTGTACACAGGTATTGAAACGTTTAAAACTATTTTATTTTATGGAAAATCTCAAAACACACAAAAGGGATTTATTCTATCCCCATGTACTCTTCACCTTTTGTTAATAATTACCAACTCATGGCCAGTCTTTTGATCTTGTTTTATCTGTACTGCTTTCTCCCTCCATCTTCCCCCCTACATCCCCAATTCTATTTTTTTTATTTTAATAAGTTCTGGCACCTTATTAGATGTCTGTTTGATGACTGTCTATGCATTTACTTTTATTTATTTATTTATTTACTTTACTTACTTATTTTTATAGGATCTTAGTTCCCCGACCAGGGATCAAACCCGTGCCCCCTGCAGGGGAAGCTCAGAGTCTTAACCTCTGGGCCACCGGGGGAAGTCCTCCCAATTCTATTTTTAAGCAAATTCCAAACATTTCAAAGTAACCAGTCAGTGTTCAGATTTTCCTGGGCATTTTTCCCTCTAATCATTCCTTGTTGACCCTCTTTCTTTTTTTAAAGTTTGTTGTAAATCAGTATCAAAAAGAAAAACCACGCTTTGTAATTGGTTGATATTTAAGTCCCTTTTAATGGGTAGCCCCCATTCTTTTTTACTTCATACATGAAAAACATGTCCTTTGACTTGCAGAGTTTCTCTTGGTCTCAATTTTCTGATGGCATCTCCCATGGTATTTAATGTTTCTCTGTTCCTGAGATTTCTGAAATTCCTGCTTTCTTATAAATTGGATCAGGAGGCTTGTTCAGATTCAGGTTCAAATGGCAGGGCGTGTGCCGGGGAGCAAGAATGCTTCACAGGTGATGTGAAGAGGCCCATGGTATCTGGTTTTCTGGGTTTTATGTGATGTAATTATTGTCTAAACCCGTTATTTCCTCCGGTTGCAATGAAGTCAAAGGTCACAAAATTTAAATTTTAATCACCTTGCACATGCCAAATAAAACACTTTGCCAGGTGAATTCAACCTCGTGTTAGTTCACAACTTCCATCCAGTTTAAAAATTGACAGGAAATGAATAGTTGGTCGCTCTTGCAGTGCCTTCCTAGTACCGTGGCCTGCAGTGTTATGCATAGCCCCTGGCTCTGTTGCTGTTCTGTCTGTCTCCTAGGAAAGGCTTTCTTGCAGGTAAACCAGATCATGAGATACTCTTGACATTTCTGAAATCCACTGCGTATTTTATACTTACAGGATGTTTCAATTTGGATGTCAGATTTTCATCAGGAATACTTGATCTGTACTTAGATTTTATAAAATTTACAGGTGAAAAAGTAGATTCGTGTACCAACTTGTTTCCTACACGCTTCCCAATAACTGAATAAAGTACCAAAAAATTTTTTTAATATTTGCATCCACATTGACAAAGTAGCTTTAAGTTTTGAATTAAAATTAAAGTTTTAGTTCCTCACTTGAAAGACCCATATTTCAAGTGTTGGCCATCATATTGGACAGTACAGACAAAGAAAGTGAAAAAATTTGGTTCCTCCTACATCCTGCGAAGGAAGTGTTGAGGTTCAGGGATTGAGTGACTGGGTGTGCCAGGGGACTGATCTCGTGATCTGGGGGCAGGAGGCATGGATATACTGAACCTGGTAGAGCCGTGTGACAGCTGCTTTGTGGAGTGGCTTAAAAAAGACTGAGATTGTTGGTAGCTAAACCAGGGGATTCTGATTTTTCTCTCATTCTTCAGCGGAGGTTCTCCAGGCAAATGACCTCCTCACCCAGGGAGTTCTGCTGTACAAACAGGTGATGGAGGGCCGTGTCACCTTTGGGAACACAGTGGTCCGCTCTTTGGGAGACATACCTGTCTCCAGAGGTATGTGCAGAGAGCCTCTCCCACCCTCTGCCATGGGGCAGCCTGCAAACATCGGGAAAGAAATGGATCCCTGAACGCTCTGGGTTATGGTATAGAAATGAGAGAGCATGTCCTCTTTTCCCTTTCCCTTGAGAATTGGTTTTATATAGCCAGCCTCTGCCCCACGTGCCATCACGGGTTGACTGCTAGGCTGGAACTAGCTTTGGCTGTAAACAGAAGCGGTGGCTATACCGTGCCCAGGTTTGGATTGCACCTCTCATGAGTGCTTACTTATGGGAGCTCACACCAAAAAAAATATGACCTTCTTCAGGTGTTTCCTAGTGCCAGGCTAGCTAAATCGGAATCATCTGGAGTACTGGTTAAAATGCAGATTCTTGGACCTTCTGAATCAAGACTACTTAGAGCTGGGACCCACATTTTTATCAAGCGCTCGAGATGATTCTGATTCACTGTGGTCAGAACCTCAAAGGCCTCTGACCTGGAGCAGTCAGCTCTGCTACTGTCCAGGTTGAATGGACCGTTAGAGGATTCTGTGTTTACTGGGGTGGGAAGGCAGTTCCTCTGGTTACCTCGTATTTCAGATGCCACTCAAGGCTGTAAGTCAAGCCAGTCAGCTGAGGTGGAAGGTTCATCTGGGGTGTGCTTAAGGGTGGGGTGATGTGATGTCTTTTGATTGGGAGGGGGCCTGAGGGAAACTGATAACCTTTAAGTGGAGACTTTGCTCTTATTCTGACTGACTTATTTTCCTAACTGTCTGTTTTCTAGTCTTTCAGAATCCAACAGGCCGCATGAAGAACTGCCCCCTGATTGACTTGGAGGTGGACAGTGGATCCGAGCAGGCTGGGACTGTGGCTCCATCTTTACTGCATCACGACCTGGCAGCCTTAGGTGAGGGTGCTGTTTAGGGGCAGCAGGCACAGAATGGTCCTGATTCCCAGGGAGAGAGTAAGCCCATTCCCCCTGGTGAGAGTGTGCCGGTTTTTAGAAGGAATTGGGTATACCGGGAAGTTCAGAGAGGTCCTCCCTGTACTCAGTTTCAGATTTGCCATGAATGAGTTGAATGACTTTGGGTAATTTGTTTTGTCTAGGCTTTCTAAATGTTCTAGAAAGGATGATGGTATCAGTCTCCAATTCATATCAGGTAGAGCTACGGATGTGCATCTCACTCTGTTCCTTCTTTACAGGGATCAGTGATGGCCCAGTTACCAAAAAGGTAAGGAAGCTCTTCCTAGGGACCGGAGAGGAGAGGGGAAGTCCCTCAAACCTACCTTCATGAGGGCAGCAGTGCCTGGGGGAGGGCGGAGGGCTACAGCATAGCCTGGTGGCACTGTGGACTCAGAGGTCCAAAGCCTCTTCCTCATCCTCACCTCTACTGTCTGGCTTGAACCCCTGGAGGGATTTTGCTCTCCTTCTTCCCTACCCTTTTCTGTTGTATCCAGGCTCCTGCTTACTAAAGGTCTGCTGAGGAGTCATGTCCTCTTGACCTTTCTCTACCTGCCCCAGGAAATGTAGTAAGCCTGGGCTTTGGGGTCAGGAGAGCTGTGCCACAATGTCACCATGGCTCATAGTCACTCATGCCCTGGCCTTACTTTAGTCATTCCTGGTTTTGACAGGTTGCGAGTCAGAATTGCGGTCAGGAAAAGAGGAACCCTACCACCAGCACACTGCCGGGTGGTGGTGTCCAGAGCCCTTCTGCAGAAAGGAACTTGCTGGATCTCCTCTCCCCACAGCCGTCTCCGGGACCTCTGTGAGTCTTGTGGGCAAGGAGCGTAGAAGAGTGGCTCCTGTGTGCAGTCCTCGCTCACTGCGCGAGGCCAGGCAGTGGGGCCCAGGGCTGCTGCTCCCCCTGAAGGGCTGCTTCCTTTCTGTCGGAGTTCAGTGCGTTCTCCTTTTATTCCGCATCCTAAGTCAGGAAAGTACACGTTTGGCCAGGACCTCCAAAACGCAGTTTAAGGAGCAACAGCAGTGATGATGATGATGTTTTTTGTCTTTATAGGTTGTTGTTTTTTTTTTTTCCTGATTTCAGTGTAATTTGAAGCAAAGCTTGATTACTAGAGAAATAGATAATATAGAAAGTCCCAAATATCACTCTCTAAAGACAATGTTGAATGGTCCTTCTTTGCTTTTTTTCTACACATGTAGTAATGTGTTGCTGTGGCTTATTTTTACACAAATGAGATTATAATTTACAAACTGTACTCCACTGTGGTTTTTTATATCACACATCTTGGATGCGTTTTCATCAATTTATGTAAACTTGCCTCATTCTAATAGTTGAATAATAATTCATATACATATAATATATATATTTAATCATTTCCCTCTTGTGGATATTTACATAGCTTCCAGGTTGGAGGAACCTGGAGTGTTTCTATAGTACAGATTTATAAATGTAGAGGTGCTCTTAGGTATGAGTATAAACATATTTTCATAGGTCCTGTCCCTTTGCCTCTGGCAAGGCTGGAACACTTTGCCTTCCCCCAAACAGCCTGAGAGCCTGTGTCCCTGGTGGAGACCACAGAGCTGGGTGGAAATGGAGATGTGCTGGGAGGTCATTCTTGTTAGTACCCGTAGGGGGTTTCTTCCTAGTTTACTGTTTATAACCACTTGACATGGGGTCAGTAATAATTCTAATTTTGGTGGGTTACTTACGTCTGGAGTTTGGTTTTCCATAAATGTTTTTGATTTGTATTCCAAATGGACAAAACCATGAAGTATGAATGAAGTGGTCAGTGTAACTTGTGCTGTCATCTTCCTAGCTTACGTCACGCTGGTGATCATGTATGGGAAACCATCTGACTGAGCTACTTGTTGTCAGAGACTGCCTGACAACTACAACATTAATTACTTTATTGGGTCCTTATTGTATGCACACATTCCGCTCAGTGCTCTTCATATACTTTCTCATTTAATTCTTGTAACAGCCTATGAGATAGATACTAAACTGTTTCTATTTTACAGTAAGAAAACTGAGGCATGGGTTAGATTACTCGTCTAAAGTCATACACCCGTAAAATATATACATACACACATATACACATGCATATATATATATTTATTTTTTTCCCCTTATTTTTCACAAAACCTAATCAGATTCCTGGAATTCTCTACAGTTTTTGCCAGTCTTGATATTATTTCTTTGCAGGAATTATATTCCGCAGAAAAGTATCCCCAGGGAAGTGCCACCAGGTACTAAGTCCTCTCCAGGTTGGTCCTGGGAGGCTGGCCCATTGGCTTCTTCTCCGTCTTCCCAGAATACACCTCTGGCTCAAGTGTTTGTCCCTTTGGAGTCTGTTAAGCCCAGTAAGTACAGTTTCACCCTTTTTTTTCCCTTTCTGTTAGATGCCCAGCTTTATCCACTCTGGATTGGTATGGGTGGCTCTTAAACTGGGGAAGATGAGTCAGGGAGAGATACTGCCTGGGGACAGAGGATAAGGCAGGTGGCCCATGTCTCTTAGCTAATACTTGTTTTAGTTTTCTCTGTCTTGGAGTTGACACTGAAGGATATTGGCAGGCGAAATTTAATTAGGGGCCTTGAATCCACTTACGGAGATGATCTTCATTTGGAATTCAAGAAGGGAATGTTCAGTGTGATCTGAAATAACTCAGAAGAGGTGGAATTAGAAAGAAAGGAAGAATTTGGCTGGTGATCCTCTTCCTCTCTAATAATCCTCATTAAAGCAGGAAAAGTAGCTATTAACCTCCCTTACAAAGAAAAGGAAACGGAAGGCCCAGCTAAGTAAGGTGAGACTGCCTGTGGTCAGCACGCTGGTATGTGAGTGGGAAACAACTGGGGTCTTTAGATCTAGGGCCTGGGCCCCTTCCTTGGGCACAGGGCCTTCCTGTGGCTCAGTGTGGTGAGCTCAGATTACAGAGGGCCCTGGAACCAGGCAGAGGAAATAAAGTCAGCAGTGGGGGCCCTTTGCATACTCACTTTATTAATTTTTATTTAAACATAATAAATGTTCATTGTTAATTTCCTGGTTTTGATAATTGCACTGTAGTTATATATAATGTTAACATTTGAGGGAGCTGGGTGAAGGGTACATGGGAATTCTTTGTGTTTTTGTAACTTTTTGTAAATCTGAAATTATTAAAAAACAAAATTAAAAACAAAATTCAATATAGTTTTAGAAAAGATAGAATAGAGCAGAAAATTAAAATCATCTATACCGTTACCACCCAGAGATGAAAGTTCTATTAATGTCTTGATGTATTTTCCTGTTTTATCCATGTATGTATGTTTAGTAAATTGTCACCATAGTATATATACTGTTTTATATCCTGCTTTATTTAATATTTTAAGCTGTAGCATTGTTTCATGCCCTTATTCTTCAAAACCTTGATTTTTTAAAAATGAATTCATTTTTATGCCACTAACATGTACTGTAACTCATTTACTCAGTTTCTTTCTGAAGGATAATTTGTTTCCAGTTGTTTACTGTTATAAACAGTGTTACAGTGAACACCCATTGCAAAAAATGGAGATCCATTTTTGAAACTTTCCTGATTATTTCATTAGGATATATGCTTAAAAGTGGAAATGCTGGGTGTAGACATTTAAAATTTTGATCTTCGTCACCAAGTTCCTTCCTGGAAGGGTTACCTTTTTCCCCATAACCTCACCTCCATACCTCATGAATATTTTCAGTCTTTTAAATCTCCGACAGTTTCATTGTCAAACTATGTTTTTATAATGTGCGTTTTGATAAGTGATGTTTGGCATGAAATAAGGATCTTCATTAAAATTTCTTCCAGTTGGTTAGCAAGCTGCCTGCCATTTATTGAATCAGCCAGTGATTTTCAAATATATGCTCTTGACATGTTAAATTCTCGTATTTGGGTCTGTTCTGCATGCTGTTTTCAACTGCAGTTTCATACATATCTGAGTATTTGTTTATGCAAATAGCCCTACTCTCCCTTCTTTTTTAATGGTTAGTCTAACGTATCTTTTCCCAAAATTAACTTACGAATCATTTCTTAGCTAAAGTAGAACAATCCCTTTAGTATTTCCAAGACCTAATTAATTTGAAGAGATCTACTGTCTTTATAGTTTTGTAAAATTAAATATAAGAGATGTTATGTGTATGTAGTCATACAAGAGAAACCAGAAGGATATAGGCCCAGATGTTAGCAGTGCTTGTTTCTGGGGAGTATTAAGGGTGTTTTTTATTTTCTCCTTTATGGTATCCTGTATTTTCTGTAGTGTTCATACATTATTTTAATCGTAATCATTTCTTGCTCAAAAAAATGCTTGTTTTTTTTTTTTCTTAAACTGGTACTGGATGGTTGGATGGAGGGGAGAGATCAGTTTGGAATGTCACAGGAGTCCAACTAGAGGTAACGAGACTTAGATTATGGTGGTGCAGAGGGTTAATTTCAGGAGCTGTTCTGACTGGAGAAGCAACAGGATTTGGTGATAGGTGCACATCTCTTTCAAGCATGGCTGCTCTTTCAGGGGAGTCTGTAACAGTGCTAATCCTTTTGGTCGGGTCCTTCTCTACCAGGCAACCTGCCTCCTCTTATCGTGTATGACCGGAATGGATTCAGAATTCTGCTCCACTTTTCCCAGACTGGGGCCCCTGGCCACCCAGAGGTACAGGTGCTACTGTTGACCATGATGAGCACGGCCACCCAACCTGTCTGGGACATCATGTTTCAAGTAGCTGTGCCAAAGGTGAGTCAGCGGCTGGCCCGCTCCTTTGAATTTTTCAATAAAGGCTATCATTTTTGAGCACCAGGTCCTTTGCTGGGATGTTATCTATTAGGTGGAAGGGCTAGAATCTTCACTCGAAGTAGGTTAAGATAAACTGGGAGTTTTGTTGGCTCATTTAACTGAGGACTCCTGAACGTCTGACTTCAGATATGGCTGGATTCAGGTAAATTCTTAAACAGTTCCTTAAGAATTTGTCACTTTCCATCTCTTGACTTGGTTTTTCCTCTCTGGACCCTGTTCTCTCATAGACTCCCTCCACCAAGCAGGAAAATGGTTATCAGCAGCTCCAGAGTTACATGGTCCTTATCGCTTTTTATCCCAGAAGGAAACTCTCCCCTGACATGAGGCATGCATATTGATTACCTAAGGAAGGGCTAGGGTTGGCCTTGTTGGTATTACTTGCATACCTTGGACCAGTAACTCGTGTTAAGGGGTATGAGGTACTCTGGCCAAGTTGCACGTTATGTTTTTTTTCTCGAGGGAAGTAGCTCCTCACAGATTAACAGCCATACCAGAATCACAAGAAATGGGCAAGGGGCCTGTCCTGAAAGGAAGGATTCAAAGCAGACAAAAATAAACTATGTGTTTTCTAATACGCATGGTAATTTTATAGGGCATGTGCTATTATTCCTCTATCTTATAAATTAAATGATCAATCCAAGGTTCAGAAAGGTTAAATATTTCGCCCCAAATCACAGAGCTAGTAAGAGGCAGAGTTAGAATTCAACTCAAGATATGCTCTCACTCTTCATGCTGCCTCTCAGAAGCCAACCTTTGATCACACAACTTCAGATACATTCCATGTATGAGTGGAAGGGCTTTTGGATCCTTTCATCAATTGGTGGGGTGGAGGCCAAGCTCTCCTGTTCACCTGATCTCCCTCATTAAAGCTGTAGTTTGTTAGGAATGAGTTATATGTTGGATTCTTTTTGCCCCCAATAGTCAATGAGAGTGAAACTACAGCCAGCGTCCAGCTCCAAGCTTCCTGCTTTCAGTCCTTTGATGCCTCCAGCAGTGATCTCTCAGATGCTGCTGCTTGACAATCCACACAAAGTATGTTCTGGTGTCTGTGGTAGCAGGGAAACGGGGGCCCCTGAACTCTAGGGAGGCAGCTGGGCAGGTGGAGGGAGGTATATTGAGGTCTTGCTTTGGTTGGGATGGTGGTAGAATGTCCCTTGCCAGAGTCCGTTTTCTTTTGGGGCTTATTGAAAGATCTGTGACCAGATTGTCATAGCTGGGGACCAAGGGAGTGGTACACACTCTCCCTAATCCCATGGAATCCTCTGAAAGGGTGAGGCCAATCTGTCCTCTTAGCTGGTCTCCAGGACTGCAAAAGCGTGGGAGGATTCCCAGGATGTAAGCCTGGCTCCCTTTGTGTTTGTAGTCCCAGAGGGTCAAGGCCAGGGTATGCCTGTCATACAGTTGCTTGAAGCCCTCACTTGGGTGGAGTTAACATACATATACTGTTACTTGGTGACTACGGGGTGGGTAAAGGCTTTTACTCTGGGCCTGTCTCTGTGTTCACTCCCCACTAATATAACATCTTTTATCTTTGCTCAGGAGCCCATCCGGTTACGGTATAAGCTGACATTCAACCAGGGTGGACAGCCTTTCAGCGAAGTAGGAGAAGTGAAAGACTTTCCAGACCTGGCAGTCTTGGGTGCAGCCTAACTCCTCACTGGACAGACCCTGCCATTCAAGCTTAGGCCAGTGTTACTTTTGCTGTCTAGATAGGACTAATCACAGTGATGTAGTGCAGAGTGCCAAGAGTTCTATCCTGACATCAGGCTCTGGATGCCAACCTCTGACTTATTCTGCAGATATTGTGTGTGTGTGTGTGTGTGTGTGTGTGTGTGTGTGTGTGTGTGGCCCGGGGGCTGAGGGGCAGGGATGTGGGCGGTGTGGGAAATGCTAAAGCATTTCTGATAACCATCTGCTACGATCATATCTGGTTTTGCATGTTGGTGGACACTGATGTCCCTGCCTCAAGTTGGAGGTTTTATAAGCCAAAGTTGTTGTTGTTGTTTTCCATGTATTATTATCTTTTCATTCATCACTCTGTGCCTTGTCAGCCTTTGAAAGACTTGGTTGCTCCCAGGCTGCTGTTCTCAGGGACCTTTAAAGGGACCTGGTTGGTCTTGGGGCAGAGTGTCTTCTGGGACACTCTCTTCCAAGAAAGACCTTGTCTCCATTTCCATTAGCGAATGCTGCTTGCATGTGTTCAGGAAGATCTTCTAAATGGAATGCTTGTTGCACTGTGTTCTAGGCGAGGGGCTGCCACTAGACCAGAGGACCGCGCTTGGTGGGCCAATCATGTCCTTCACCACTGTGCCTTAGAATTGCCCATAGATGGACCCTTCAGGGCAGAGGGGAAAGCAGATCCCAGGCCTTATTCAGGCCTCAGGTTCCATGGGTCGGGCAGCCTGTCTGGACCCTTCCTCAGGACCCTCATCTCCATCCTCATCCTCTTTCACCACAAGCATTTACCCAGAGCTCTTTGATTGTGACACCATGCCAGTCGTTGTAAATCATAACTAACAGGTTCGCCCTGGCCTGTTGACTTCACAATCCAGGATGAAGAACTGTGATGCAAATGAGATACGAAGTGAGTTTAGCAATGAAAAGTGATGACTAAATACAGAAAGTCATTGAATAAATACCCGTGTAGCAAATACGCTTTGTGGAGTTTTGAGTAAGTAGGAGATGCAAAGCCTGTTGCATTTAGAGATAATAGGCTTGAAGGGATCATTCATCTGTTGAAGTAAGGAAGACTTCCTGAGGGATGTGGAACCTTAAGAACTGCTTCAGTGAAGAGAAGCCCTGAGGATCTGAATGAAGCTGGAAGAGAGGTGGATTCTTGTTACAGTCATGGTGTGAAGGAAGAATTCAGGCCTGCAGTCAGTTAATACTGAGCACCTACAATGTGCTAGGCATGTGTGCATGTTTTACAAGTCTTGCTTGGCCTGATGGATGGGTGAAGAGAGCTGAGCCTGGCTGAGATGGCCTGATGAAGGATGCAAGATCCAAGCAGCTCACCTGTCTGGGTAGGATTCTGCCTCAGAAACTGCAAGGCTCTGTTTGGGGCTCTTTGTCACAGGATCTGGTACTCTACAGTCTGATCTTTTACCTGCTACATATAGTTGGAAATGTGCCAGCACTATGGTGGGGATGAGAGCTGTAAAAAATCAAGGTATGTCACTTTTAAAGCAAATGTGAAAACTCATAAAACAGATAAATGATGGGGTGACTTCTTCATTTGGCATAACTCATAAGGTTCATTTTAATCTAAAATTTTGTGTTCAAATATTCTATATAGCTTTTATAGGCTCTAGCTGTTTCATAAAGTCTCCTAGAGGAGCCCATCATAAAGACGATGCCTGCCTAGGACTTCCCTCAAAAATGGGTGAATGAGGGCTTCCCTGGAGAGTCTGCCTGCCGATGCAGGGGACACGGGTTCGTGCCCCGGTCCGGGAAGATCCCACATGCCGCGGAGCGGCTGGGCCCGTGAGCCATGGCGGCTGGGCCTGCGCGTCCGGGGCCTGTGCCCCGCAAGGGGAGAGGCAAAAACAGGAAGGGCCCCGCGAACCAAAAAAAAAAAAAAAAAAAAAAAAAAAAAGGGTGAATGAGACCTACACATGAAAAAACCTTTATCACGTAGTTAAAAGGTAGACTCACTGCGTGTGAACGTTCTTCTGTCTTCTGGGAGACAGACTCCCAGCGGTGCTCTGCTTAGATAGAGTTGGACAAGGGTAAGGGGGTAGGGAGGTGGGTGTCCTGAAAGTGGCCCTGGTTTATGTTATCAGTGCCTTCTAATTATGAAGTTCAGCGACCACTTAAGAAGAACCAACCCGTATCTTTTATTCACTCAGCAAGTTGTTGTTGACTAGCTACTGTGAGCCGAGCACTGCTGTAGGCACTGCAGATACAGCAGTGATAGAAGGTCCCTGCCCTCGTGGGTCTTCTGATGGGGAGAGACAAATCCATAATGTGTCTGTTGGAGAGTTGGCACTGACCATCCAGTATTTTCCCCTATCCTGAACTCTTCCTTCTGGGATCCTGCTCATCCCTATTTCTTGACCTACCTCTGACTGTTCTTTTCCCTCTGTCCCTTAAATGTGTTTCCATAGTGTTTAGTCCTTAGGACTTTTCTAGGCATTCTGGGCAGTTAACTACTAGATGGGTGGTAGACCTGTATCTCAGGCTTCCACCTCCTTGCTGACATCAGGTCCATATTTTAAGCCGTCTAATGGATATCTATCTGGAGGTTCCACTGTTGCCTCCAAGTGCTTAGAATGGAACACAGCCACTTCTCTCATTCTCTCTCTGTTCTTTTATTTGAAAGCACCTATCCAAGCCTTCATAGGTCCTTGATTCTTGCTTCATCTCCATCCCCCTCAATACTTTTGTCTCATCTAGTCTATTTCTAAATAGTATCACATCTTGCATTCACATTGTCACTGTCCTGGTTTTGCTTTTTTTTTTGGATGGTGCCGTAGCCTGCCTCTCAGTTCTCCTCTGAGCCATTATACTTGCAACATACCTGGGCACTTGACCCCTGCTGAAAAACTGAATGGCTTCTTAATGCCCTAAAAGCCTTTGCAGCCAAATTCAAGTTGTTTACCCTGGCGTTCGGTGCCCTTCTGTAACTTTGTTTGCTCCTTACCCTTCTGGCGTCATCTGTCAAGAATAGAGGACACTTTGCCAAAGCCACAAGAAAGTCCCTTCATGTTTTGATAATACCACGTTTTCTCGTATCTCTTTGACTACACCTGTAATTGACTCCTTTTGTGTCTTCAGTGATTTAAGATTGGGCTAAAATGCTGCTCTATCTGTGAGCCACTCGTTGAGAGTAGATGAGCTGTGGATTTAGTAGCGTTGAAAAAAGGATAAATAATGACCCAAAACATGAATATTACCCATTAAAAATAAAGTAGTGTAAATTGAGAGATCAGAAATGAAAGGTTAAAAGTAAAGGTGATGTTCTCATACAAATAGTGTTTAGTACAGTGTTCATAAATCACAAATTCTTAGAATATATCTAATATAGAAGGTGCTTACCCAGGCCCAAAATATAAAATTCTACAAACTAGTGTGTTTGTTTTAAACTAAGAAGAAAACAATAGAGTGCTAGCCATAGTTTGTTTCATATTTTTTTTAAGCAGTAACAGCCTGACCTCTTTCATCTGGAGAGAGACGGAGTCAAGTAGATAAGCAGGAAGTATCCTCAGAGAAGATAAGGCCAAGGTCCAGAGATCTCATCACACATTTAATGTAAGCTGAAATGGAAAAACTCCAGGCCTTTAGTTCCCTTGCCCAATGCATTCCCAGCTATACCATGTTCGTTCTGAGAAAGCTTGCATCTAAAAATGTGTACACATTCTGCTCCTTTGACTTTTATTCTTGAACACTTACTTTATCCCACAGCTAGAGGTACTACTATGATTTTAAAAGCTGAAAAACATTGCAGTGTTACAGGCTCCAGATACATAGGCTTTTAAAGTTTGAGGTCTTCTGAAGCCCCAACAGTTTGAAGTAATTAAATCAACCCTTACTTGTAATTCCATTCTTTAGCTTCACGTACTACCTCTAGCCATGTGACCTGAGACAAGTAATTTGTCCTCTTCCGCTTCCTTCCCTGTGAAGTGCATAATAGGATTGTTTTGAGAAGTGAGTTAATAAATGTGAAGTGACTCCAGTACTTCATAGGACTAAGCTAAGACTCATATTTCATTTACTGTTTGCTTGTCCACCTGGCTTCCAATACATGAACAGACTTGACTTACCCATAACTTTTTTGGCCGTGCCGTGAGGCTTGTGGGATTTTAGTTCCCCGACCAGGGATCGAACCGGACCCTCGACCCCTGCAGTGGAAGCGCGGAGTCTTCACCACTGGACCGCCAGGGAAGTCCCTATGACTATTTGAAGTTTACCTCATGAAATCAAGCAAATATTTTAATTTTGGCAAGGTTCAAATTAATACTGAGATGCAGTAAATGTCAAGGATAGAAAGGTAACAAAACTTTGGAAACCTTACGCATAAGTCTAGTCAAAAGCAGAAATCCATAACAATATACTTAGAAACTAATCAACACTTCCTATAAAACATTCAGTTAAATTTTGTAAACAAGACTATGTAATTCTAAAATTCATAACCCTATCACCAAAATCTGAAGCAGATACCTTTTAGTCTATTCTTGTTTTTGAATGCATAGGTAAAATATTAACTTTAAAGCTAGTGGCAGGACTTCCCTGGCGGTCCAGTGGTGAAGACTCCGCGCTTCCACTGCAGGGGGCACGGGTTCGATCCCTGGTTGGGGAACTAAGATGCTGCAAGCCACGTGGCGTGGCTAAAATAAATAAAGCTAGTGGCGTATTGAAAGAATACACTGTGGAAAGCCTTTGGGAATGCAGTCGGCCACATTAATAGCTCAAATGGACAATTTGATCATCTCAATAGATGTAGAAAAGGCATTTTCTCTCATTCGTTGTTTATTCCTAATAGAATCAAACAACCAGCATGATGTTTAATAAGGAAATGACAACAGTGGCTTAAACACAAAGGTTTATTTTCTTATTCAAAAGAAAGCCAGAAATAGTCCCAAACCATTTGTGGTGTCAACGGAAAAAAAATGCACAACTTAAAAGTTGAGAATTTTATTTGGCAGACCTACTGAGAATTGTAGCCAGCGATACAGCCACTCATAGCTCTGAGGGACTGTTCCAAAAAGGTAAGGGAAGTGCCAGGATATATAGGCGTTTTTGTTGGGGAAAAAACAACACTCTCCCCCATGTGTTTAAACATCAAAAAATTACTTTTAATCACAAAAACAGACATCTCAAGTTAATGATTTTAGTGCTTTTCTATGTATGGGAAAGAGCAAGAGCCCGGACTCTGAAATCATTACTTTGATGCGCGTCTTAACTATCTAGGGCCAGTATCTTGTTTTTTTCCATTCTGATTCCCCTCAGAGTATACCACAGGGGCAGCTGCCATGGTTGATGGCTTTATGGCTGCAACATCCTTTGTTTACGGAAGGGGCAAGCGACATTCTTGGGCCCTAAGTCAGCACCCAAGGATGTGCTCCTCAACATTATGTTACAAGCTTTAACTGCTGACTGTTCTAGGCAACAGGAAGGGAGTGGGGGAGCCAGGAATAGAGGAAAACTGCTGACGTTCTTAAGGTTTCCTGGAAATTTTATGTGATATTTGCATTCACATCTTATTGGCTATTTAGTAGCATGGCCACTCCAAGGTGCAAAGAAGGCTAAGAAATTGTCATATTTGCATACAATGCCACACACTTGGCTAAGGAAGAAGGGGAGATTGGATATTGTAACAATTTATCCATTTACCATAAGACACTATGGCCATCTGTTCTACTGTTTAAAACCAAACAACTCAGGTATTTGTATGTACATATGACTGTTTATATTTGGGTCGTAGAATTACAGATTTGTTTTCTTCAGAATTTATCTGAATTTTCTAAAGTTTCTAAACTGAAAAGGCATTATTTTTAATTCTCAGTGTTAGTTTTTCAAAACTAAAACAACAAAAGGTGGAAATTCTTCCCACCAACCGATTACCCTCCTAGGAGACAATATTACTAGTTCCTCATCTGTCCTTGGAGATATTCTAGGCATTTTTAAACAAATGAACTGTTCCACACTTTGCTTTTTTTTTTAATGTAATAATATAGATGACTTGGCGATAATGCCATTATCAGTATGAACTGTGTAATAAAAAAGAACAGCCCCTGCTTTCCTCTCTTCTGACAGCAGATGGTATCAATCACTTATATGCTGAAAGTGCTTTGTATTAAAACTGGCACATGAAGTTGCTGATAGTTTCCATGCATCTCCAGCCTCTCACTTCCACTGGCTCCATTCCTGTGGGCCCAAGCCTGCTTGAGTCTTCCCTGCAACCCTCCCCCTTCCTCCTGCCTTGTTTCTGGTAGCCCTGCATGGTAGAGTGAAACAAGCATGGGTTTTGGGGTCAGGTTAAGTTTCTAGTTTTCTTGCCACCTTGTGCAAGTCACTTAACTCGGCCTTGGTTTTTATATTCTTAAATGGTAAAAATGTTAAAAATATACTTCATAGGTTTTGGTCCTCACCAAGGATGAGGTCACCAAGATACCAGACATGATAGGTACTCTTTAAATATAGGTGCTATTATTTCTCCTCAAATTGCCTCATCTGAGATTTCTCTTTTTTAATTTACTACCTTAACTTGTGGTGACTTCC